AGATCAGGTATAGCTACAAATTTATCTTGATTGAGTTCTTGGGCACCCCCTCAATGCTCTAGCTCCGCCCCTACTCATATACTAGTGATTGTAATGGTATAAGTGATATTATGTAGAGGATCCTCAACCCCATTCACCACGTTTTTAAACAAAAAAACTAGTCCAAGCTTTCTCATCCTTATCCACCCATATTCTCATCCACCCGATCGCTCCGCCTCCGTCGCCATCCTTCTTTTCGCGGGCGCCGGGTAAGCGCCTTACGCTTCGACCATGCCGGCGTGACGCCAGCCTGTCTCTTTGACGTCGTCGTCGTCCCCACCATCGCCGCTTCCTCCTCCACCACCGACGCCCACGCCGTCAGCAGTGGTGATGACGACGCGCGCAGGCGCTCGTGCCGCTTCACTCACCTCTGTCTCCCTCTCCCCTCCACTCACTCTCTCTCTCTCCCTCCCTCTCTCTTTCTCTCTCGGGAGAAGGCTGAGAAGGTGGAGATGAAGCCGGCCGAGAGGAAGGGGTCGTCATCGTCGTCGTCTCCGGCGGCCGAGGAGGATGACGACGGCGCGGCCTGATTGGCAAGATCACCCTCAAGCTCCCCAAGCCAGGGGTGATCGGCGTCTCTCTGGCTTGCCGTCTTCGTCGGTATTCTCATCGGCTGGGCATGGCGCCCACGCTGGGCTATCGCCGTTGTCGGGGACAACGAACAGCCGCCGCCGGTCACCCCTGCTCTGCCTCCATCGCACGTCGCCGAGGACTTTTGGCCGGACATCACCACCTTCTGCGTCCGCGCCACAACCTTCTCCATCAGGTATCAGTCGTGATACCTCAGTATCTGGCCTAGTATCCACAAGTATTAGGCATGGTACCCAGGTACCAAAGTTTGTGATACCTAGGTACCAGTCGGTTCTAAGGTACTAGGTACCAGGTACCCAGGTACCAAAGTCTATGATACCTAGGTACCAGCCGGTACCAAGATACCAGGTACCATCTACCAGTCAATACCCAGTACCAAAGGTACCAGGTACCAGCTGGTACTCAAAGTACTAGGTGCTAGTGGAACGCACCTGGAAGCTCACGGAAAGAAAGTAAAATATCCCGTTCTAACGGGATCCCGTTCTGTAGTCTCCCTCTTTTTAAACTATGTGCTTTACCTAAAATTAAAGTTATCTTTTTTTTAAGGCGAAGTGAGTATTCCACAAACAAATATTTTTTTTCCATTCTCTCACTGTAGGTTATTATGGGCTTATGGCAGTTTGTACCCCTACTATAGACAGCCAACAATCCAGCCAGCCACGTCGCCACGTCCGTGTTCGTGCCTGTGCGTGGTAGCGCAGCGGATGGATTGGTGGATGATGGGGCCGTGGGGTGATGGACCAGCGGTCAATAAGTGCGGTCGGTGGGGTACGCTTCGGATGCGATGAAGAAAACCACACATGGCGATCCACGACGACGACGACGGTCGGCACGGACCAAACCCGCCCGACTGATTGGTGATTTGGTGGACCGGGGCTCCAGCCTCCATCACCTTGGAGTAGCTGTAGCTAGCAGCGGCTACAGCAGCCAAACGGCCGGCGTACGTTTCCAGCGCAAGAAAAACCGAGAGAGCAGCGTGGGACGGGACGGGACGGGAGCTGGGGGAGAAACGGAGGACACCGAGAGGCGGAGGAGAACGAAAACGAGAGGCGCGGGCGCCCCCCCGTTTTGTTTTTGTCTAGCTCGCTCGCTCGCGCACGCAGCACGTACGCAGCCAAGCCAACGACTGGTGCCACACGGGCGCGCGACACGCGCTCACCCCCACCCACTTGGCCTGTTGGCCATCGCCATTCGCCGCACTCGCGACACGACGAGGGGATCCGTCCTGACCGGGAGTGAAAAGGAGGGCTGAAAGTTTTTTTTCGCTTGCAATGTAGCGAGCCCGGCAGTACATAGGACGGTAGGAGTATATACACGTCCGTTTTTTTTTTGTTTTATAATGGAACGAATCTCGGCTCTTTGCTTTAAAAGAAGTTACATTCATTTATTACATTCTCTCAATGAGTAAACATTCAGTTAACTTCATAATGACTGATTGAAAAACATCAACACTAAAAATGGAAAAAAAATTATTGAAATCTTTTGTAAATCTTCATCCGAAATTAATGAAAATCTACTTGTAACTTGTAAGCTTCAACATGCAGCATATATTAGCTCCATATTCTCTTCATATTTTTGAAGTTGTGTCTAAAGTCGGAACAGTGCATTGCTCGGAAATGAGATGAAATTCGATGATATGTATGAATCCTCCTCGCGCACTGAAATGTTGGATGGTAATACACAACTTGAACTAGAGAAATCGTGTACAACTTGCTTATTTTGTATGTTAATAATTATTCTTTTGGAGCATAGCCGATGTTTTTCCGGTGCTTGAAAGGTACTAGAGGTCCGAGTGTCAATAGTTGGAAAATACCCCTATGGCAATGTTTGGCTAATGGGAAATGGAAATGATTTCCCACCCATAAAAAGACATCTTTAAATCTTAACTATTCATTCTCCCTCTTTCATTTAATTCTAACCCTTCATTCATTTCCTAATTCCAATCTCATCCTCCATTTTTCGTTATCCAAACACACCCTATGTATTGATACTTTTCGATGATGCACAATTCCTATCTTTTTTTTTCGTTTGCATAGACATATAATCTCGTATGTATTATGAATTAATTTATTCGGTGTATTACGTTATTATTATTTTTTGAACATGCTAAATGTTTAGACACGGGCAGATAAACCTGCAAAATGGCATAAATCTTATGGTGTACATCATGCTATATACCGCAATCATGGAACAAAGACAAAATGTCTATATTGTACTCCCTCCGTTTCACAATGTAAGTCATTCTAGCACATTTCTCATATTTATATTGATGTTGATGTATCTAGACATATATATCTATTTAGATTCATCAACATCAATATGAATGTGGAAAATGATAAAATGATTTACATTGTGAAACGGATGAAGTACTGGTTGTCACACTATACCATCACACCAATCAAGCGAAGCTTGCATCAACGATGATTTAAATTTTACAAAAAAAGAGAGAGAATAATTTGTATTCATTAGCCATTTCATCTAAAAGTTTAAGCTGACCGAGAAAGTCTGGTAAATATCCACTCGTATTTCAACAAATTATTTAAACAAAGTCTCTATTTGAAAAACATCAACATTCAAAAAGGGGAAAAATAATTATTGAAGTCTCTACGCGCTAGGTCGCTGTCTTGTTAATCGATCGAATTGAATAACGTATCAACAAATTTCTTCGACTCAGGCAAGCACCAAGCAGATATCAACCCAAATCGATCGCATGTCGTCACACACAATCTCCTTTCACCATCTTCACGTCATTCAGGACAGGATACCACACCGTGCGTATCACGCATTTGATATGCGAGTGCGCTAATATACACTCCCAGTCCGATCGATTTGGCAGAGGAAATTTCATACTTTCACATACGTGAGTCTGCCTAATTGCTCTCCGAATGATCTAATTGACCAAACGACGAGACGAGTAGTCCCCGGAGCGCCGCTCACGCTACAGGACGGGAAGGCGGCAGCCGGAAGCCGCAACGAAGCCGGAAACCGTTGAGGGCCCTTTGAATCAAAGATTTATATAGAAATTTAATAGGATTTAAATCCTATAGAAAATTTTCCTATTTGACCCTTTGATTCAAAGGATTGAAGCTTTCTAAATCCTACGAAATTCCTATGGAATGGCACATTGCATATGGATTTTGGAAGAAATATACCAAGAGCTCTAACCTCTTGAAAAATTTCCTTTGAGTCTATCTCTCTCATCCGATTTCTGTATTTTTCCTGCGCTCCAATAAAACGATTATTTCCGTGTTTTTCCTGTGTTTTGCAATCCTCTGTTTTACACTTCAATTCCTATTAGAATTCTGTGTTTTTCCTATTCCTTCATTTTTTCAACCCTGCGATTCAAATGGGCCCTGAAGCTAGCAACTTCCAAGCTCCAACCGATAGACAACTCTGTCCATGGTTTCGCTCTCACGGGCGACTCTTGCTGCACCTTGCATGCAGAACTTGTAGAATCGCGCTATAGGTTTCTCCAATCTCCAATATACGAACTCGCAAAATCATTTCAACCTTGTCGACTTGTCTTACGTTGTTCTTGTGTACGTAGAGCAAAGTACAGAGAAGTACATTGCTCTTCAAGTCTTCGTCCAGATGGGGGGTGAGAGATAGAGAGAGCGCATCACTTTTTAGCCTTTTGTTGCGCGGACAAGGCTAATGTTTGGAACGCTGTCTGTCTTTTTCCTGGCCATGCCGGGCTCGTGAGATTCCTGGGGAACTGCCCAATGTTTCAGACGAAGACCGTGGTGCACAGCACTGGTGCCGCTGGAAGTAAAACTGTACTACGCTCGGGACTCTGAAAGTCTGAACTCTGAAACCTGACCGTGACCGGCTAGAGACGAACGCGAGTATACGCGACAAGTATGCAGACTTTGATTCACGATTCACGTGCCCGGGCTCAGCGGGTGTCCGCAACCATGCAAACGGCGGCGTTTCCGGTGCGGCAAAGCTTTGGCTTCTTGGCGCGCGGAACGGCGGCGTCTCACGCGCGCGGCACGCCCGTGTGAGTGGGATGGGCCGGTGGGCGAGCGGTAGAGGGGAGGGGAGCACGCGGCGGGTTGGGTTTCGCTGGCAGCAGCGCCTCGCCTTCTTGGGCTCTCAGCCTCTCAACCAAAATGGGCTCCTGCGCTAGCTGCAGCCTACCGCAGCACAGTGCGCTCGGTTGGGTGGTGCCTGCCGCCGACGACCCCCGCGGTTGCGGCGTGCGCCGTGCGCGGATGCGCCCATGCCACGAGCTGTGAACTCTTAATTTTAGCTCAAAGAATTGGGTCTAGATTCTATAGTGAAATTGTGAAGCAAAACCCAGCTCCATCTCTCATTTTAAATTATGCTGAAACTGTTTGACTGAGCTTCGGCTTTAAGAGAGGTGAAACTAAAGCTGTGCTAAACATGTTCTTAATAAAACATATAAAAAAACAGGTCCCTTTCGCATCGCCCTAACACCACCATAGTGTCTGTCAGGCACGTTGCTAGGCCAACAAAGTTGCGAGCTATGAATCTATGAAGCTGTCTCACAGTATAACAGAGTATGAACACTGAGCAAGCGCAAAAACCAAACTCTTTCTATTGCCTAACCGTGTAACAACACCGAACAAATCAATGGGGGTACCGGTACAACAAATATCATCGCTCTTTTACACTAGGATGTACACGCCAATTTACAGAATGTGTATCATGCCACCAGATCGTAGTGGGGAAAAAAAGGGGGATGTAGCTGTCAATTCTTCTTCTAGGATGTCATTTTCTCAGTCTAGCTCCGCTATGAAGTTGGGTAGCTCACCCTGGCAGAGGTATTCGTCGCAGTGGGACGCAGAACCCCAGCCTCTCCGTAGACGCAGGATGTCCTCTGTGAAGGTTGAGCCTGATGCACCTATGAAAACGTTCGACAGCGCACAGATCGTCTTGTCGAGCATGGCCTCAACCTGCAAAAAAGCCGAACCGGTTTGCCGTTTAGTACAACAACAAAAGGTCCAAAAGAAATCTGGACAGCAACTCTGAAATGTATCGGTTACCTGATTGTCTCCACCCATGTGATTTCTGTATAACAAGGCATCCCATTTCTCAGAGTTGTGGTGCTCTGGCCTTTTCACAAGAGGGACTTGCCTGTCATTGAACACAACCAAGGATTGCAGGAGACTTGTCTCACTCTCGGCAGCATCAGTAGACAGATATATGACTGGGGCGTTAGCTTTCTCAACGATTCGAAGAATGCATTCTGCTGCCTGAGGGATAGGGAAGAAGCAGCTCTCTTTCTTCACATTACTGCAGGAAGATGAGAACATATCAGTAAATGCCTCATTATTCAAAAAAAAACATAGCCAACTTGTTGCATACATCACTCAAAATAACCACAAGCACATAGTATTGCAAGGAAAGACTTGAGCAGTTGCGCTAGCATTAGTAACATTTAAACTACTCTTAGTGCATGGCACAACTGCACAAGTCATATATCATGCTCAATCAACTCCTATACATGTATCAATCAGATTCCTTTGTAGTATTGAAGTAACACCTAGTAGTTTTTTTTACAGTTACAAGCTTAAAAACAAGTTATCTTCTGTAACCCTTTTTGTTGATGGAACACAAAATACTTGTTATTTATTTGTTATACTCCCTCCGGGCTGATAATATTAGTCATTTTGGACAAGGGTAAAGTTAAACTTTAAAATCTTTGACTACAAATAATTTCTAAAATATTTATCTTAAAAATATGAAAACCATATGCGTAGATTAGTCTTAAAAAGTACTTCAGTAAAACCATATATTTGTTGATATTCCTATATATATTATAATAGAAAATAGTTATCAAAGTTACTTTTTGGAGACCTTGCCTTTGTCCAAAACGACAAGTATTATCAACCCGGAGGAAGTACTTGTTATGACATAGTTCTGACCCAACTTATTATGCTTAATTAAAACTAGTCACCTTCAACGAATTTTGTTCCTCAGTAACCTGTAAGGCGCTGAGTGCTAATTAGTGAATACCAAGTGCTCTAGTAGAAAGTGTATTAGGCTCAAATAGTGAGAAAACTTACCATGACACTTAAGGACACTGCCTCACAATGTGAGAACCAAGTGCAGCAACCAGCTCCAAAATGGGCAACAAAGATGAATGAATTTCCCTTCTATACAAGTATGCAGCTAATTATTTTCAAACCATGACTTGGGAGTTAAAGTGTTCTGCTGGTCACATGTTAACAGCAACTGATGTATAACTTAACTGAATGTCCATGAATTCTCAAATACTGTTATTAAGTCATTGAAGATAACATTATTTATAGCTTGGTATGAATTAGTTGAAAATCTTGAACCACCAATCATTTTAGTCTTGTAAGCACCAAAATTCTAAGAAGGTATTTAGATACAAACATTCCAGGTAAAATTCTCAAAACTATTGCCGTAAGATATAAAATTAATACGGGGGACTGATTTACATCAGCTGAACAAAGAAATTAATACAGTACTATGTAGTACTTACTCCCTTCGTCCCAAAATATAAGAACCTCGTACTGGATTAGACATTATCTAGGACCACGAATCTGGACAGGTCCAGTACTAGGTTCTTATACTTGGGATGGAGGAAGTACAAGATAGCATTTAATCGATTTGAAGTAGCAAGAACAACATTATTTCAGTATGCTAGTCAATGTTAGCAAATAGCCAAACATTGTAGCTCAATATTATGGACAATGGCTACATTGCGTCCTAGAAGATACTAGTAAATTTGTTGTTAACCAGGCTCTTCATTGGCTGCATCAGAACTTTTACGAAGGCCCAAGTCAATCTGATCAAGGCCAGAACATACAAGTTGACTTCTATAACATTTTATATGCTTAGATCTAAGTGAAGCATCTAGGACCAGCTCCAAGCGCTCCCTATGAAATCAAGCGCCTGGTTTCTAACTTTCAATGCAAGGAGCTCAACATGAAATCAAGTGCACATCTCTATGTGAGTTATTTAATGGAATAAAACCTATGCTTAATTGAATGTCCATGAGAACTGAGCACTAAAAAGATGATAGGATTTTCTCTAAGCCAACACCCAGCAACTATTAGAGGCTAATTGGCACGATCTTCTTGTAAAATGTACTGCAGCCCTCTCAATAATTAAACATATCTGTATTGCTAAAACATGGAGGTGACTAAAAACGAAAAAGGTATCTTACCAGAACTTCAGGAAGCCATGTCGCCGAAAATGCAAAGCAATGTAGTTGCCCCCCAAGAAGGTCTGAACAAAGCGTTGCGCAGTGAGCATAATAAGCCTACTTGGCTGGATCAAAGTATTGCACTTGTGAGCCAATGGGCCACCAGGCTGCATCACCCACTCTTCCTCAACATCAGCATAGAACATGTCACCGATCGCGAGCACCTCAGCATCCGTGGTAAACTTTGGCATGATATCCTCCACAAATCTCTTCTTTGGCTCCTTCAGCTTCGCATCCTCTGGCCAAGCTGCCTGGATCTTTCCCAGTGAAATCCCCAATCCCTTCAACTTCTTAACATGATCCTCATCAATGAAACAAGGGGGTGATGCCGCGTAACATATGAACTGATCAATGCTCACTTTCTTCCTCTTCTCTGTGAATTCCTCATAGGTAATTACAACCTTCCTTCCAATGCAATCATTAATGTGGTTGATATCAAGCACCCGGTCGTACTGATAATCCAGCTTCTGGCTAGGCACCACCAAGATCCGGCCAAGCAGCGCCGCGAAGAACATGTGCTTCTCCAAGCAAATCAAGTGGTTGGACATTTGCCCGGAGACGCAGATGGCGAACAGGAATCGATCTTTCTTGGGGTTCCACTCTATGGTCCGCCGGTTGGACGGCAATTCCCTCCTCCTGCACCCGTCAGCCGGCAGATCAAGATCCAACCCATCCTCCGTCGCATTGCCCGCAGCGCCAGTGCGGTGCGCGGAGAGGAGCGCCGCCTGGATCTCGCGGTTGATCTTGATCTGGCCGAGGAGCGCGTCGTGGAGATCGGCGTACGAGACAGCGTTCGAGCCCGAGCTGCTGCCGTTGGTGGGTGCTGCCGTACGGTTGAAGAGGGCGAGGAGGCCCGAGCGCTGCGAGCGGAGGAGGTAGAGCGCGCGGAGCTCGGCGTCGCGCATCCGGGACGCCGCGGGGTCGGCGGCGGGAGCGGCGGCGGAGGGGAGGCGGATGGAGGCGGGCAGGCGAAGGGAGGACGCGCCGCCAAGGGATACGAAGAGCACGAGGAAGAGGACGGGGAGGGCGACGAAGAGGAGGAGGTAGCGGCGGGACCAGAGGACGCGGCCGAGCGAGGCGGCGGAGGGAGGGACCGCGGCGCGGAGGCCGGCGACGTGGAAGGAGGAGGAGGGCGGCTTGACGTGGTTCTGCGGGACGAGGGTCTCGAGGTCGTCGTCCTCGTCGGAGACGGAGGGGTCGCGATCCATGGCGGAGGAGAGTGTCGGTGCGGCGGGGTGGACGGAGTGGGGAGGCGGGAGGGGAGGGGGAGAGTGCGGAGTGTGGTTAGAGGGAAGAAGCGATGGAGATTGGAGGGTGGACGATGGCGACTGTCGAACGGTGGTCTGCTGCTGCAGAAAATGTAGAAAAATGTTTTCCTGAATGCTAATACTACTATATCTGTCTTATTTATTACTAGTTCTTTTAATTAATTGTACTAGTATTGTGCATCAATAAAGTAGAGAGCATGAAGTCATGACCATCATAGTGATTTTTGCAGTGAACACAAACTATGCCAAAAAAAAATGTGGAAGTGTTTCAATAAAATATTTGAAGAAAGACTTTAACACATAGCTTGCAACAAATGTTCTAAATAATAAAGTAGAAATACTGAACTCAATACTTCTGAATGGCTGCTAAAAGGCTAAAAAAGCATGGCCAAATTAGTTAGATTGTTAGAGCATCTCCAACAGACTCCAAATCAGACTCTCCAAATACCTATATAAGCATATCTTTAATTGGTTTGGCAAGCTAAACTCGTTGCTAACTTCAATAATCTCTCCATCTATCATTTCTACTCTAAGTCTATACTACTGGTATCCATATGTTATCATCTACTACCTCTTCTTCTTCCTTCTCTTTATTCCCCTTTCCCTCTTCTCCTACTGGGGGCATCCCTAAGCTCCTCCTTGGCCCTCTCCATCTCTGTGGTGGTGACGTCCGTGCAAAGGCGAACAGCGACGGTGACAGCGGACAACGATGGAAGATCCATGAGTGCGTGGAGCGAGGTAACCAACGCGGGAGAAAGGGAGGTTGTTGGCGGGCACGGTGAACAGGGCGAGGTGGCTCTAGAGACTGCACATTGTGGCGGTGCCCATGCTACAACGGAGCTCGAGCTCGCCATCCACTCCCAACCCCATTGTCGCTGTAGGCATCCCCACACCGTCTCCAGTAAAGTAGATGGAGGAGACGGCGACGAATCCTGAGTCGAATCCATACGGGGGAGGAGGCGGTGGAGGTCGTGCGAGGTCAGAGGCGACGGCGAGCGGGAGGCCACGGTAGCGAGGAGGCGCGTTGAGGCGGAGTCGAGGGAGAGGCGCTCCCGTCAACGCCAACCGCTCCCAAATGAAGGAAGAAAGAGAATAGAATGTAGTGGGACACGAATAGCAAGTTGAGTAGGCTAGTTAAGTTTGGCAAGTGAGAGAAGGAGTTTGTTAGCGGATGACTTGGAGAGTGGGATGGATGGACTGTTGGTGTGCGATTTTTATCCATAATTACTAAATTTTGATTTAAACAGTGGGATGAAAAGGTTGCTAGAGATGCTTAGCATGCTGCAAAGTACTACATAAAACTCTGAAACCACTTCTGATTTCTAAATAGCTGCTACGGTTGCTTTGTGCTTGCCATAAGAATATTTGGGAAAGGAATAACATAGGAAATCCATAGAATTTGTATCTTATAGAAAATAATTATACGAAGTCCTTTAAAACAAAGTATTTCCTCCGTTTCAGAATGTAAGTCTTTCTAGCATTGTTCACATTCATATAAATATTAATGAATCTAAATATATATGTGTGTCTAGATTCATTAATATCTATATAAATGTGAGCAATGCTAGAAAGTCTTATATTATGAAACGGTGGGAGTATTTGCTTTTACCAATTCCTTTGAAATTCTTATGGGATGAGCTATTGTAGTGCAATTTTGAGGGTAAATAAGCATGAGGTCTTACCTCATATTTTCTTCTTCTGATGTCTTTGCGTTCCTACGTTTTTTATGTATTCCCGCTAGTTTTATGAAACTTTCATGTGTTTTGAAATTTTATAGGAATCCATTGAGCATTACGTTTTATTCATGCTTTTTTCTACCTCTGTGTTTTTATAGTCCCGTGTCCGTAGCTAATCAATGGCTAATCCACACGGTCGGTGAACGTTCAAGCTGTCCATAATCTATCCTGCAGGGGCGAGCCACAAAATTCCATCTGTTTCAAATGCCAGGATTTGAAGGATCGAGGGTCTCAAGGGAATAGAGATGTCGTGATCAAGTGGTCAGCTCAGGACTCAACCAAGTTGCTTGCCGTTGCTCTTGATGCACCAGGAGAGGCAGTCCACGAGAGTAGACGGCTTAAACCACGACGCATGCTTGATCAACTGGGAATGTTCGATGCTTCCATCCCCAACATGGTACCCGCTGATTTTCGTTCTTTCGCCGCAGTCGAAACCCAGGTAGACCGTATCACCGGTGACGGAGGGAAATGTGCTCGGAGAAATCGACACCGACCGAGACAATCCGATGAACACGGCGCGGCCGCTCAGGCTCCTCGCCGGAATCAGCAGCCGGGAGTCCAAATCCATCCGGTACACCGCGTACTCCCTCCTGAATTCGTCGTGGCTTACGGTTCGGTACACCAGGATCAGCTCCCGCCCGCCATTGTCCACCAGGTGAAGGCTGTCGCTCATCGAGCAGAAGGAGAATGGCGGGTCGATCGTCGTGTCGACCGCCGTCAGCATGCGCGGTGGCTGATCTGAGCTGGTGGTGGTCTCCGGTGTCATGATACCAATGGCGGTGGCATGGTAGATGCGGCCGGCGAAGGGCACCGTCGAGTAGAGCATGAGCCTGTGGTCGAAGTCTATCTTGGTACAACGCTTGTCGCCGGGCTTGGCGACGGCGAGTGTCGTGGGGGATTTGAGATACGCTACCACGGTGGAGGTGGAGGTGGAGGAGGAGTCGGCAATGGCGACGCCTCTGACCCGGAAATCCTCCCCGCGCAGTCCCTGGTGGGGGTCGTTGCGCTGCTCCGGCGTCAGGACCGTGGCGAACGGCGGGAGCTCGGTGAGGTGGCGGGTGAGCGGGTTCAGCAGGCGGACGCCGTGGGGGGCGTCCTTGCGGAACAGCAGGAGGAGGCCCTCGGGGGTCACCATGAGCAGGTCGTGCTCCGCGAGCTCCGGCAGGTCCGTGTGGATGCACTCGCCGGTGGCGACGTTGAGGAAGCGGTGGCGGCGGCGGGCGACGCCTTGTCGATCATGATCCACCGCCGGGGGAGGAAGCGGCCATCAACCGGGCCGCCGCCGCCGCGCGGGCTGGCGCAGCAGCGGCGCCACGGGCCGCACACGGCGCGGAAGCGGACGTAGTCGGCCACGTCGGCGGCGAGCAAGCGCTCCGCGATCAACCCGGCTGGCCCTTCCGCCAGTCTCTCCTGCAAAACCCGACCGGGTCAGATTCAATTCAAATAACACAACACGATTTGAACAGAAATCTAATCTCAAAGTAAAGAAGAAACACGATTTGAACAGAGCAAATGAAGCAGGCGGAAGTGTTTTGGGGAGGAGGGGGGGGGGGGGGGTTACCAGGAAGGATCGGGAACGGGGGAGGAGCCGTGCGGCGGCGGGCGGCAGCTTGGAGCGGCCGAGCGCGCTCGCTTTGACCCCCAAGACGGCGGCGGCCGCTTGGAGCAGCAATCCAGCAGGTGATCGCCCCTTCGTTTCGCGAAGGGGGAGCGGATCTGGGCCTGGCCGACGGCGCCGGCGCCGGAACAGGAGCGGAGCTGAGCGTCGAGGCTCCTAGGCCGCTTCGCCCGCCTAGGGGCGTCCGCTGTCTGCGCTCGGGTGGCCGTTTTTCGCTTCCCCATCAAACTGAGCCGCCGCCGGCGGCAGAGGGGATCGGCCGGAGCCCGGAAAGGGAATGGGTTAATTTGGTGTGTTGTTTCGGGCGACAGCGACGCAACACGGCGCAGCGTGACGAATCAGTACCCGTACGCAACCAATTTATGCCCACACCTTTTAGCCTAGTACTCCGATTCGTCGTATAGTACTCCGATTCGGGCCTTGATCCAGCGGGCTGGCTATCTCGGGGAGAGGAAGTCGGACTTAGCGCCTAGCGGGGCTATGACCAGGCCAGCACGGGCCGGTCCGATGTAAGCCGTACCATCCTGACACTTGGGCCAAAATCAAGATTCGTTTGGTTGGGCCGGTATTTCGACCCATTTCGCTCAGCCCCTGCGACGCCGCGCGCCCCGTCCTACTGCAAAACGCGTCCGCTCCTAGCTGCGATGCAAGCCAACCAGCGAGCGTAGTACGCCCGTATGCGAGGAGAGGACGGCGAAGGTTGCGGCGACCAACAAGGTCCAGTTTAGTTCTTAATTTTTTCTTCAAACTTTTAACTTTGTCATCACATCAAAACTTTTTTACACACATAAATTTCTAACATTTTTCTTTAAACTTTTAATTTTAGTTAAACTTTCAATTTTAACGTGGAACTAAACACAGCCCAACTCCCCAAACCTAAAAACCCAAACCCAACCCAAGTACCCAACCACCCCGAGGTTGACAAACAAACCATTGCACGCGACCCCGCCCGGACCGATGGAAAACCACCCGCCACCCGATCGAACCACGGCATATCCTCGCGCCCGCGGCTCACGCACGCACGCACCCACACACGTGTGGCCGATGGTCAACCAAACCATCCCTGGCTGCTCTCGCACGCGAACCACACGAGTCATCCATCCAACACTGATGATCACTACTCTAGCTTAGCTTACTACCCCAACACTGATGATACATTGATACTGCTTCTACAATATGCACAACTTTACTTTTTCTCGTCGTCTTCTTTTCTTTTCCTTTTTTTCTTGATATGTTCTTGCTTTTTGTATGTACAAAGCCACTGGCACGCGTGGCCCATTGACCCCGGCGATCACCAACCGAGCGTTACATGTGCCGTTCCTTTTTCGAAAAGTAAAGGAGAGTGACAACCAAAGGAAAAAAAAAAAAACTCGCTTCCTAGCTCGCAGTGTCGGTGAGACACATCCGAGCTAAGCGAGAGAGAGGAGGAGCTCATCGGCTTATGCACGCCATTTCCGTGGCTCAAAACGTTGGCGAAAATGCGAAAGAAACTGAAATGAAAACGACTCTCTCGCTCTGTTCCCTACCACGGCGAAGCTGCTAACACCGCTCGTCGTCTTCTTATGTACACCGACACCTCTTTGCTGCTCGCCGCGCCGCCGTCGGTTACGTCTCGGAGCGCCGTGCTCGTCGCTCGGACGCCGGCCCGGAAGAGTTCGTCATCGTCGTCGTCGCCGTCGCCGCCGTCGTTGTCACTGCTTCAGCCGCAGCGGCTGCGGGTGGTGGTGGTGATGGCCGCCGCCGTGGGAGGACTCGACGAGGATGGACCAGAGTATCTGCACGTCCTCGCACGGGCACGACTTCACGTCCTCGTACAGGATGTAGATCCCTCTCTCTGCATGCCACCACACAAACCAAAACACAACAATCACAAACAAGAAGAAGAAGAAGAAGAAGAAGAAGAAGAAGCGAGAGGATATAGGAGAGATCGATCTTGACGTACTCTTCCTCTGGGCGGAATGCATGCGGATCCAGAGCTTCTTGAGAGGCGCGAGGAGAGACTGGAGCCAGCCCATGGTCCCAGCTACTACCACTCGCCTACCTCTGCACCCTGAATTCACCTTACCATGCATTCATTCACCTCAGCTGCTGCTGCTGCTGTTGCTGCAGCTATAACCAAGCTGAAAAACAGGCAGAGGCAAAGCACACCAATATATGCCTTAGCTAGCCATCTACCTAGCCATCTTGGAGGAGTGGTCAGAGAAGAGAGAAAGAGAGGAAGAGAGGAGGAGAGTTGCAGTGTTGCTTCGAGGCTGGGTGAAGCTAAGCCTTTCTGCCTCTTAATCCTCTGCTTTACTATTCCTTTCTCGCAATCACGTTGCCCTCCTCCCTCCCTTGCATCTTAATCACAGGCTTTAACATTCTTGGTACCGCGTCACTGTCCATCCATATCTTCCCATGAATAAACAACGGGAAGAGAGAGGCCAATGTAAATGCTGCTGGATCGATCGCAAAAAAGAAAAAAGTTTCTTGCAATCGAAGAGAGACGAGAGGGAGAACACTGGCTCTGTTAGGTCTTATTTAAGCTTTCTGGTCGATCGATCGCCATGGCCTACCACCGTGTCAACAATGCGAGCCACGAGCGTATTCGCCGATGGCTTTCTTTTATATATTGAGAATTGTACTGGCAAAGGGGAGGTTGAGGAACTATTATCAAGCCATTTCCGTCGGCACGCGATGTAGGAAAATCTGCCCCGATCCGACCGTTCGAATACGATCGAACGGCCGAGATTTCAGCTGTTTTCAGAGTAGTTCCAGAGTCTTGGCTGAAATGTAAACATCAATTCCGTCGGTGAACGGTATGTAGCACTGGTGAGAAATGAACTTTGTGCCTACATGGTCTGGTGCTGCAGCAGGTCACATCCAAAATGCTGAGATTTAACAGGGCGTCTGTTAGAGCATCACCATTGTACCACGCGAGCCAAATGGACAGAAAACAAAACAAAGAAATATAAAATAAAGATGATGAAACGATGTGCGCCCTGAATAGGATGGTTTAAGTATCTTAAGAGATTATGAGAAGGAAATCGAGAAGAGAAACTGACCTGTTGTTCCAGTAGTTGCCTCTTCACTTTCTCCCGTGGAGAGAAGCTTTTGCTCCATCAGCAATTCTGGAGATCTCATGGACCCCATGGAAATGGAAGGGAATCAGTGGAATGCCAAGTCAAAGTTTTTATTCTGGCCCCACCTCTGGTCTCATAATGTGGCAATATATATGGGATATTCTTTGCTTGTGCAAATGAGCTCCTCAATGCTAGCCAACACTGCTTCTAGAAATTGAGTGGTATCTTATGTGGGATAGCACTGAAGCAAGTGTTTCTTGTAATCATGTTTGTTTTCTTGCACCTATCATCTGTTAGGTTTAAAATTTGTACTATGACACACTCAAGAAAGTCATGTAAACTGCAGCAGCATTTATTGTTAATGTGGACATACTTTAGTGTGACAGTTACTGACAAAATTGTCACAAATACTGTATTAGCTGAATCAAACATGGTAGATATGAAGAACGTTGACTGTTGTACTGACTGGAACTATTGTAGTTCAGGATAAAAAAATTAACATTATCCTTGTAGTAGTAGGTGTATGATGCAACTTTGCTTTTGCCTTTTTTCCCCCAGTGCACATCCAGTTAAAGAAACCACCAATATGAAAATTTACTAAATTAAGGAGTTCATGGACCAATATCACAAAGTGGTGGAGCTCAGCGGGCCATCAACAAAAGGGAAACAAAATTGACTACGAAAGTCAGTACTTGGATAAGTTCTTGTTATCCATTCTCTGTAAATTATAGTAGTAGAGAAAAAATATGGAGATTAACAAATACAGGGTAAATTTAATAATTTTACCAGCAACTGAATTTCCCATCAGTAATCTATATTATTGGTTTGGATAATTTTAACTTATGCCTTCAATCTTTACCAATCCTCTAGTCATCAAGGATCGTCAAAATGCAGCTCACAGCATGTTCAGAGTTGCACTTGTGAAATTAGTGTAGGATCATAAAAGATCAAACAAACCTATCATAGGGGAGGTGAATGATAGGGAAAACCAAAAATCCAAAAATCTTTTGCGGAATTAAAGATTACCCTCAAAATGAAGTAGACGTCGAAAATAACATTATCAAACCACCAATATTTTCATCACAAAATCTAAATCAACTCCTTGATTTTACAATTAGTTGATTATTACAATTACCTTTGCTAAGACAATTAACTTGGGAGTTGGCACAGAACACAGCACCAGATTTTCTTGATTCAGTAATATATTTCTACTAAGCCTCACACTGAACATGTAGAGCACAAGAATGGAAAAGTTTTCAGAAAAGCATCATTTTTTTGCTTTGCTTCTTGGATTTGTGATCAGAATGTATATGTCAAAGACATGATAATACAAATGGGGCACTAGAATCTGACATTCTGTCTAACTACCTATCTAGAAAAAATTATATGGGTACTCAAATTCTCAACTTGCTAATCATCACTAGAACACAATAGTTAAGAAGCATGAAATCCTTGCACAAGGTTTTGTCAGGCTTGCATATTCTTACTGTTAGGATTCATTAATTTACGGTAGAATGGCCGAAGAAACTTGTCATCATGTTTCTGCCTATTCGGTCTTCCATGCATTAAGTATCAAAGTGAAGCCAAAACGATGCGCTTGAAGCTCCTTTTCATTCTGAGAGCATGACCTTGACAGCAATTTTTCCATGGATTGGCCTGACTGAAACAAGAACACGGCACATTTATTCGATGAACCAAATAGCCAGTCATGAACATCCCATAGGACCTCTACTGGAAGTCCATCAACATAGACTGTCTGGTTTCCTCTGAACTTCCATGCAAGTCTCTTCACCTGCATGACTCTCTTCTTGCCAATCCTGATTTCTAGGCTTGGATCCTTCAACCCCGATGTGTCACACTCTATGGTGATATGGTGGAGCTGACCAATGTCCAAAAACCGGGCCTTCGCTGAATACACCTTCTTCCCATAAACATGTTCCTTCCTGGCTATCATGACAGCATTGGAGGCCAATACATCTGACGAAACCCTGTGATCCCCATCCTTGCGCATGTCGCCGAGCACAAGAACAGCTTCAAGATCACAGACCAGGGCAACATAGAAGCCTTCGACGGGTTCTGGCCCGGCCGCAAACTTCGCAGAGGACAGGTCCCAGACGATATCCAGTGCTCCACCATCGACCTCCATGGCCTTGGAACCTTTCCTCTTGGAGAACAGCCATGGCTTTATCTCTGCCTTGCAAAGGCAACGATTCGAGGAGTCGTCGACTGCGACGGACAGAGCCTGCCCCATGGTCATCTTGCTCCAGGTGACGGTCACGCTGCAAGATTTGCCACGGAGGCGGGCTAGGTAGGTGCACTGCACCATGTTCTGGCCACCTGGAGAAGAGGAATGGGCGACCTGGACGCCGCTTTGACTTAAGCAAGATGCAAAGTCTCTCATCGTGACGATGGCGACGGTTGCAAGTTGCACGCCCACCTTCTCCTTTGCGGCTTTCTGACGAACACCTCGTGCGCAACCGCCCTACTTATCACTCACACCGTCACACGCACACTCCGAGCAGGCTGTTCCCCTCGGTTGGAATCTGGATTCAAAACATCTGCTTGCTCCGACTGACGGCTGAAAAGAAGTGAGGAAAAAACGATGCATCAAATCCGCATCTTTGCGCTCGATATCCCAAGATTTCCCCCCAATCAAATCCACGCCTGTTAACCTGGAATCTGAAACAACAGCAGCACCGCAAACAAATCAAGAACCCGAAGAACGGAACATCATTTAGGAACTCCCAGAGATCAACCAGAGAAGGAGCAGCCATACCTTTCCCCCCGACGAAATCAAGAACACCACCGGCGAAGAACGGAGCAGCGGGAGCCTCAGCAATCAGCAGCGGACACTACAGAGCAAAGCCGGTGGGCGGCCGTTTTCACCTGGCCGGCTGCGCCAAGAAGAATCACCACCCACCCAACCGCTCCACAAGCGAACGTGCTCCTTCCCCTCCCTCCCTACCCCTCAGGAGCAGTAAACCAGCGCCATCAGCAACAACAGCACCATCATCTCTCTCGCTCTCGCTCTCGCTTGGTCCGTTAAGCTTCGCACTTCACAGCAGTACAGGAGTAGGAGTACTTCTGTTTGTAGCGTAGGAGGCTCAACCAAAAGCAGAAGAGGGCGGGAGGAAGAAGACAAGGGGAGGGGTGCGACTGCGAGGGCGACCGCCACCAGCAGCAGCGTGGCGTTGGGGAATGTGGGCAGCAGAAAAGACGCGGAGGCAGACAGGCAGGCAGCAAGCGGCCGAGGCAGACAGGGCAGGCTCTTGGGTGTCGGGAGGTGGAGGGCGCGGCTGCACTGTCCAGTCGCAGCGAGAGGTCGCCTTCCTCGCGGACATGTGAGCTCCACCTGTTCGCACTTCGCAGGCACGGCCTAAAACCCCGTATTATACGGGAAACTTTGGTCTTCTCGTATGGAAAATGTGTTGTGTAGAGAGGGAGATGAGAGGTGCCGATCACAATACAGTGTCACGTTGTATACAGTGTATGCCAGGAACTTCGATCGACATAGGTAGTCCTCGTTCTTTTCTTAGCATATCATGTCGGTTTGGAACTTTGGATAGGAACTCTATGCCGTAAGAGCAAGTTTAATAGTATAGCCAACTACTAGCTCTAATTTTACTGAGCAAGGTTAACGGTGATTTTACTGAGCAGATCATGCCAACCAGAGGATTGCGTCAAGGGGATCCGATTTCGCCGTACCTGTTTTTGATATGTGCAGAAGGATTTTCGTCCCTGTTGAATGCTGCTGAAGAACGAGGCGACCTGGAGGCGACCTGACGGGGGTGAGAGTATGTCAAAATGCGCCAAGTATTAATCATCTCTTGTTTGCGGATGACTCATTGCTGCTCCTAAAGGCTGATGAACGGAGCGCGGGGTATCTGCAGAATGTGTTGTCTCTGTATGAAAAATGCTCTGGCCAGACTATCAACAAGGAGAAAAGTTAAGTTATATTTAGCAGAAACACGAGGGAATCTAAGAGGGAGTCTTTTAGATATGCCTTAGATATCGGGGTTGAAGCATGGAATGAAAAATATCTGGGGTTGCCAGTGTATATGGGGAGATCAAAGAAAAAGACCTTCAATTATTTGAAGGAGAGGGTCTGGAAGAAGATACAAGGCTGGAAGGAGAAGTTGTTGTCGCGTGCCGGGAAGGATATTTTGATCAAAGCTGTGGCACAAGCTATTCCAGCTTTTGCAATGTCATGTTTTGACCTGACAAAAACCCTTTACGATGAAATAAGCAGTTTGATCTCCCGTTTCTTTTGGGCACAGCATGATCGGGAAAACAAAATGCATTGGATTGCCTGGGACAAACTATGCAGTCGAACGGAAAAAGGGGGCCTGGGATACAGAGACCTCCACCTTTTCAATCTAGCGATGTTAGCCCATCAAGCGTGGCGGCTCCTTTCCAATCTAGACTCATTGTGCGCAAGAGTGTTAAAGGCCAAATATTTCCCAGATGGGAAGCTTATGGAGGTTAGAGAAAGTCCGGGCATCTCATATTCTTGGAGAAGTATTGTTCGGGGGGTGCAGGTGTTGAAGGTTGGCCTAATCTGGCGTGTTGGTGATGGTACCGACATAGATATGTGGAACGACCCATGGATCCCCTTGGGTACAACCAAGAGGCCAATTACCCCAAGGAGAGGGATCGTTCTGAACAAAGTTGCTGACTTAATTAATCCAATTACCGGAGAATGGGATAGAGAGTTGATCCAGGATATATTCTGGGAGGAGGATGTGAAAAACATTCTAGCCATCCCAGTTCATAATGGCTATAGCGATGTTGCAGCATGGCATTTTGACCCAAGGGGCATTTTTTCGGTGAAGTCGGCATACCACACTCTGGAATATCAGCGTGATCGTCAGGCAATACGACAAACAGGTGAATCTTCATCGGGGAAAACGAGCAGTGCAGCCCTTCAGTGGGAGAAGCTATGGAGACTGAATCACCTTCCTAAGGTGAAGCATTTCCTGTGGCGCTTAGCGCACAACAGTTTGCCACTCCGTCAGAATATCAGTAAAAGAGGTATGGAGATCGATACAAGGTGCCCAGTCTGCCTCCGGTTAGATGAGAATGGTGGCCACTGTTTCTTCAAGTGCAAATTTGTCAAACCTTGTTGGCGCATGCTGAACTTTGAGCACATTAGGCAGGAGCTTTCTCTTCAGACTTCTACGTTGGATGTATGTAAGCACATTCTGAATTTGAGAGAAGACATTATGTTAACGACTGTCATACTGCTCTGGAATTGGTGGGATGCAAGAAACAAAGTGAATGCTGGGGAGGATAGGAGAACGCATGAAGAGGTATATAGCAGAGTCATAAGGATGGTGTCAGAAAACTCCTTGCTCTTTCGGGACAAAGCTCGGGGAAATCCTAGCAGTCAAAGTACATGGTGTCCGCCTCCCCAGTGTGTTCTAAAGCTGAACATTGATGGTGCTTTCCAGGCGGCTAATCTAAGTGGTGGTTGGGGCTTTATCCTCCGGGACCATGAGGGGAATGGGGTACTGGCTAGAGCAGGACGAATCGAACTGGTGCATGATGCGCTTAGCGCGGAAGCCGTCGCTTGTCTGCATGCCTTGCGTGCTGTTCTAAATCATGGTTTTTCGTATTTCTCTGTTGAAACAGATAGCTCCATCCTGGTGAGCGCACTGGACTCCGCTTGCTACGACCAGTCTACGGCGGGCGTGACTTTTAAACAAATTAGAACTCTGCTCCGTATGGACTTAGGTATGATCAAGGTGTCTTTTGCTAATCATTCATGTAATAGTTGTGCTCATGAACTGGCCCGGAAAGGGGCTAGTTGGGACCCGTGTCATATGTCCATATGGGCAGACCCCCTCCCGGATTTTGTACAGTGTTTTGTGGTTCGTGATTACACTGAACCAAGGTATTAATAAAGAGCACGTTTCCTGTCAAAAAAAAAACTACTAGCTCTAGTTTATCTATAGTCAATCTAAGAGCGGGTACAATAGCAAACTATTAGCCAGCTATAAACATATTTTAATGAGATAAAGGACGAGAGAGAAGAGCAGCTGTCGGTGATATGGGACCGGGGGTATCGAGACCAGAGGCTTGAGGCAGACACAATCGCCCACGTGGCCTGGCACCCTCGGGGACGTCGGGCCCAAGGGTGAGGTGTCCGCCCTCCTCTTGATTTCCCCGAGGGGGGTCGGGTGACTCCTGTCCCGGCCCCGAGGGCCGAGGCGCCCCGACCCCTTGAGGGTTTTTGCGTCACATATATGGGTTAGGTGAACACGGCAGGGCTCATCTAACCGCATTTATTGCGGTCTGGTCAAGCGTGTCACGCTGCATGCAGCGCAGTGCAGCGCGTTCCTTTATCCGGTCTGTGACCAGTCACAGACCGGTCAGATCACGGGTTAGGTGGCGACTGGCGGTCTGACGCACGCCTCGCCCCATCCCGTCAAGACGAGAGCCTCTAGGCACTCGTCTCTAGCCGGAGCTAGCGTGTTGCCTCTCAGAGATGGCACGTTACCTCCGGTCAGATATATACCAGGCTTCATCCCAACCATTACAGGAAAAATGTTACATGAAGAAGGGCGAACATGCACGTTGCTAAACTGACGCGTGGTGGACAAGGATGACTGATCTGTGACCGGTCTGACACTGGTCGCGTCATCCACAGACAGCCATAATCCCACGTCGCACCTGTTTCCGGCGGAAGTGGGAGTAGGTATGGGCCGTCCCGTCAGAAGGGCACTCGGACAGCAACCGTACCGATCTCCGTCCATTTATGAAGAGAAGAACAGTCCAGTTTGGAAAGGGGAGGGGCATGTGGTATCCCCTTGAGATATAAAAGGAGGACCTTGCCCACTTAAAGAAGGGGAGGATTTTGCAGGGTTGGAGGGGGGGCTGGTTGAGACTTTTGTAGCTGGTTCATACACAGATCCACCAAAACACAGGAGTAGGGTATTACGCTTCCCAGCGGCCCGAACCTGTATACATCGCCCGAGTCTCGCGTTTCTTCCTGGCTCGCGATCTTTCCACATACCGAGAGAGCTTGAGATTTCACCCTAAGCCCCCGGCCGAACTAGCAAAGGGGGGCCTGTGCGGTCTCCCGGTGAGGAGCCACGAGCTCCGTCAGCAGCGGACTACAGATTTGTAGCTAGCTGCAGCACGGACTTCAAGACGCAATGTGTGTATGATAGGTAGGACCATATATTAATAGTATAGTAAGCAACTATTGTATGAATTGGCTATTAGATCGGCTATAGATGAATTGGAGCTAGTAGTGGGCTATATTATTAAACTTGCTCTAATAGCTCATTCATACAATAGTTACACACTACACTATTAATACCTGGTCCCACCTATCATACACACACTTCGTCTTGGAGTTCGTGTTACAACTGGCTATAAATCTGTAGCCCGCTGTTTCTCTCTCTCATCATTTATCTTCTTAAAATATGTTTGCAGCTAGCTTATAGCCTGCTATTGTATCTTCTCTAACTGTAATACATTATGAATACACAGACAAATATCTTGAAAAAGATACATTATGTCATTGAAACATTTGAAAAATACACAGACAAAAACTAGTGTGCAATGAACCAACATTAGAAAAACATGTAAAAAATATGTTGATAAGTAGAGTGCAACATCAATAATAAGTAGAAAAAGGCGAAACCCTGTTAAATTCAAGGTGAAACATTTTCTGGAACATTAAGTGCCAACTATCGAAGCATCAAAAATAACAAATCTAAAAACATGAAACACAGTCAATTTCAAGATATAACATTTCACTATTGCCCGTGAAAAATTGTAGTCCATTTGTTGAAACATCAAGATTTGCAAAGCATACCAATATGGCTTTCTTCCTCCCGCTTCCACACCAGGTTGTAGAGATCTCATTCGCCAGTTACAGCGTCTTGACATCTCCATTGTAGCTGTCGTTAGCTTCATCATCCTTATGCAGTCGTGCGTCAACTCTACTTTGTGGCATGACGAAGCAAACCCGACGCCCAACACCACACATTTGCACATGTCAGTATGTCACTCCACCTTGAAGGTCAAGTTTCATCTGAGGTTGCTGCCTCCCGGCTACTTCCCTGCGACAACCCTTTGCTTAGCCACCTTTGCTCACGACCGGTTCCCCCCGAGCACTATATGGCCAGGTCCAACAAGGAGATGGCAACGGTGAGGAAGAACTTGAACGGGAACATAGAGGCAAGGGAGGGCATCGATCTTAACAACGTCAATGATGTGGGGATGGGTTTGGAGGAGATTGCTAATTGGGTTGCTTATTGACATGCAAGGATGGAGAGAGTGAATGAGTTTTGGGCTTTGGATGCCTGAGGAAAAGCATTATCGTCCCTATTTCCCTCAACACCATATCATCACTTGACCTCTCTAACTTGATTCTGCTATAGACCTAATTCATCATCCTCTGTTGGTCTCCTCTTCTTCTCCTATCTTAGATCATTATGTCAAGGTCTTATTTGCATTGGTTGAAATCCAGCCCGTAAATTATACAAGATCTGAAGAATCATTTGAGATTGTGAAACGTCGCGTGTTGCATAAATGGAAGTGGTCTTCCAGACGAAGGTCTACACACGTGGACTGTGATGTTTGGCTCAGTACTAAGCTTTTTTAAAGTTTGCCGTACTTTACGACTCTATTTTTTGTTTCATTACATCTAGTTTGGCTCGGCATGCATGCGCGACAATGTTAGGGAACCATCCACACAGATCTTACGGTGGATGTGCCACGATTGAGGCATATCCAAATGACTACTCCCACCGTCTCAAAATATAAGCATTTTTAGCACAGTAACAAGTCAAACATTTTTAACTTTGACTATTAATAGAAAAAAAAAATCAATCATGTAAAATTAAAGTTACTAGATTTATCACGAAACAAACTATCATAATATGTAACTCTTTTTATTTAAAATATTATTTATATATATATTAATTATTGGTCAAATTAGCATCTTGTAGACCATGTTAGAGTCTGAAAATGCTTATATTTTGGGACGGAGAGAGTAAGTTACCAGAGTATTTGAGTAAAGCATGGGCGGCGAGAAATCTCATTGCCGACCCAAGTACCCAACTGCGAGTCGAATTCAATTGAAATTTCTCAAGTTCAAAGGAAATCAAGGTCTACCAAGTCCAATGGAACTGCAAAAAGATGTTCCCAATAAATAATTGGCCACTTACTCACTTGCCACAGCGCGTGTCAATCCGACTTGCACCCGTTGTCCGTTGCACGTGCAAGCAGCTATAGTCATCTGGAAATGGAGTCGCCGCCGGCGCACGAGCAGTTGACGAGAGGCCGGCCATGGCCGATCGGCATCGTCGTCAACAGCGGGTTCCTCTCGAAGAAGTTGGACGGCCGGAGCTCGAGCCCGCCGCTCAGCGTCGGCATCACCGGGAAGTCCTCCTGGTACGGCACGTGGTGCAGCCCCACCGTGTACCACAGCACGATGTCCTCGCCGCGGATCGCCCTGTCCCGCTCGCTCCACGCAGCGAGGCCGTCGCCGCCGGTGCTCTGGTCGGCGTACAGCCCCGACGCCCACTTCTCCGACCTGCTGTACGGCGTCACCCGCACCTGCTTCTTGCAGTAGGCGGCGCGCCTCTGCGGGAAGTCGTCGTCGGCCAGCACCGACGCCGCCATCGCGCCGCCGGGGACGACGCGGTACCCGACCTCGTTCCCCATCCTCGTCTTCTTCCCCGGGTTGACGAACACCAGGTCGGCCGGGGCGCCGCCGCCGAGGTCCACCTGCCCGTCCGCCTCCCTCTCCGCCACCTCCCGCCGCACCGTCCAGTAGCTCCGCCTCGGCGTGTCTGCCGCCGCGTCGGCGTCGGCGTCGCGCACGACGGCGGTGACGATGTTCTTGACGAAGGAGTTGTTGGTGCCGTCGACGTCGAGGTCGAGGTGGTAGGTCACGTAGTGGTCGTGGTACACGGCGATGGTGTTCTCCGCCACCAGCGTGCCGTGCGCGTCCTGCGCCACCTCGTCGGCGTGCGCGTACGCCGTCGCCTTCACTTCGAGGAGACCGGTGAGAGACACCTGCCACGACATGACGCAATGAATCTACACAAGCTAATTAAGCTCTCGTTGATTCGATTCTGCGTCGATTACCACGAGCTTGATGGAGCCGCTCGTCTTGAACTCCCAGTCCAAGATGTAGTCGTAGTTGCCGGCGGACACCACCATCCTCGCCACCAAGCTCACGTCGGGGCGCACCTCCGTGATCTGCATCAAGAATCACACACCGAATCAGCCAAAGATTGAGAGTTTGAGACACGACGACGGCCACGAAGACGAAGGGCTTTCTGTTCATGATCAAATATCACCAGCTGGTTGGGGAAGCCGGCCTCGGTGTGGCGCCACGCGACGTCGCCGGAGTAGCGCTCGAAGACGCAGATCATGTTCCTGGCCTCGACGGGGCGGCCGTCCTGGCCGGAGTAGTGGCCGTCGAGGTAGGCGGCGTTGGCGGGGCAGTCGCCGCCGGGCTGGAGCGGGAAGGCCCAGAGGCCGAGGCCGTACTCGCCGGCGTCGAGGAACGTGCGGTAGTACCACTCCTCGACCGGGTCCATGTACGGGACGAAGATCTCCGACACGAAGCCGCGGTAGAGCACCTGCCGCCGCCGCCGCGCGCCGCCGGCGTCGGCGTCGGCGTCGTGGACGGAGGCCAGCGAGATGACCGTGCCGGCCCGCATGTCGAAGCCCACGTGGAACTCCCAGTTGGCCCACCTGCAGTTGCCGCAGCACAGCCATATGCAGCATCCGTGCATGATGCATGTGCGCGTCAGATTGTCAGCTGATGAATGAATTGGTGAAATATGGACCTGTTCTTCAGTCCTCTGCGTGAAAAAGGTTCAATTCTCGTATGGGTTTAACAAAACTAGCAGTAGATGAGTTGATCATTAGAGAGAGGGGCTTAGGGCCTGTTTGGAGAGCTACGAAACTGTCTAGCTTTTTCTCAAACTATGATAAAGTTGTAGCTACAAAATAAAGTGAAATACTAAAAAACAATCAGAAACTAAAATTTCAGATTCTGATTCACATAAACTGCTTTTTAGAATCTAAAGTTTTTCCAATTCAATCATTGGTAACTTGATGAGTAGCAGGAAAAGAAAAAGAAAAAATCTTACAAATTAGGAGCAAAGACTGAAGAAACTGCTTCCACCGAAAAGCAGGAATAAGTATTCTTCACAATTCACATCGCAATCTGACTCTCAGAAAACCTCTCACTCTACTTAATACTATCCTAAATCCAAGTACCAAACTAAGTACTCTAGTCAGCTTTAATTTGCATGAGAGGCTCAAACAGGTGGCAGGAATGTAAATAGAGATTTTGTAGTTTAAACAACGATTTTGCTATATTTCACTCGAAAGATTTTTTTTTATCTCTCATTCGATTTTCTCACTCAAATTTACAATGTATTTTCTTGTAAGTTACAGTGTAATTTTTAAATCTTCGCATGTAAGTTTTAAAATTTATATTGGATTTGGTCTTTTTCTTGAAGATATGGTCATTTAGTGTCTATTATGGTGTTTCTTAATTGCTTTTTTGCTTTTTACTGTGTCCATTGAATTTTAATTCAAAGATTAAAAATATATGTAATATAATCATAAAAATCTTTCGAAAGATGTATATGTACTCCCTTTAAACAAACCAAACAACCATATTTTACCAAAATTTTGTCAAGCCAAATAAAATCGCTTACCAATGTTTTGGTCACGTTTTCCCACCGAAACCGGTTGAAAACAACACAAAATTGTCAAGCCAATGTCTTGACGTGGGACGAAAGCAGTTCTCGATGAAATTTCAAGTGGTTTTCAAGAAATTCAAATTTTAAATATTAAATTCAACCAAAATTGATTAAAGAATGACGAAAATCACTGTACAGCTAGAAGTTGGGATCCGTCAGTCCATTGGAAAGGTAAACCCTCTCTTTCTCTCATGAGTCATCAATCAAAACACACCAAAATATCTATGCTGGTGCGCTGTACATATCAATATCTATCCTAATGCATTGTACATGTCAATGGAAAAGTATTTTCATCCCTCAAATGAATATTCCTCGTTTCTTACATATCATCTAAACAACCATAAAAAAGTTGAAAAAAATATAAGATAGATTAATATGAAATATATCACTACATAAACATGTAATTTCAAATTCTCGACTTCTACAAGCTGTAACAAATATAGCTGCAAATATACATTAATCATTTTCATTTTACTTTGTTATTTTGTTACAACTTGTAGAAGTTGAATTTGATTTTGTATGTTTGTGGAATGATATATCTCATGTTGTCAAAGTTATTCAAATTTTTAGTGACTATTTAAATGATATAAAAAATAAGGAGATATTTCCTGGAGTGATTGAAAATCCATCTCCATAACAATGCTCTCGCTATCAATCATCATATGGAATTATCATGAACGGATCGACTCTTATATGGCTTGTCGTCAAGTTCAAAAAGAGGAAAAATAATAGAGGCCATCGCCGTCCCCTGACGGCGACTATCCTTGGGATTTCTCACGCGTGGTGCACGAGCTTCTAATAGTTCAAATTGAAAATATCACAACGATACGTGGATGCATCACACGGCACAAGTACAAGCTTGAACAAGCTGCTAGTAATGGTCAAAGCGATTACCTGACGACGTGGCCGTCGATGTGGAAGCCCCTGCCCTCCGGCTGCACCACCACGCCGGGCGCCGGCGCCGGCCCGGCGTACGGCGGCCCGGCCTTGCCGGCGCGGTAGTCCGTCCCCTCCGCCTTGGGCACCGGGTACGCCACCCTGTCCCTGTACCCGACGATGGCCATCCGGTCGAGGTCCACCACCAGCGTCACGCCCTCCAGCGGCCGCGCGTAGAAGTTGGCCGTCGCGCCGGCGACGAAGCAGAGCACCTTCGCCACCCTGCTGCGGCGGGGCTCGCCGTCGCCGCCGAACCAACCGACGGGGAACACCGCGCAGAGCACGTCGTCCATGTCCACCCCGCGCCGCCGCACCGACTCCACGAACGGCGGGTGCTTCGGCGGCAGCGCCACCGCCGCGAACTGCTCCTCCAGCGTCAGCGTCGGGAAGCCGGCGCCGCGGTGGACGGCGTGCGAGAGGACGGACGGGGAGGAGGCGTTGGCGACGTCGACGCGGAGCTCGTGGGACTCGCCGCCGGCGCGGGCGATGACGAACGCGCGGCGCGGGAGGGCGTGGCGCGAGGCGCCGCCGCCACCGCCGTAGGCGTAGGAGAGCACATCGGGTTTGTCGGGCTCGTCGAGGCCGACGTAGTGGAAGGTGAGCGGGCGGGCCGGGACGAGCGGGGAGGCGAGCACCGCGGCGCGGACGGCGGTAAGCTCGGCGGCGGAGAGGGGGTCGAGCGGGTGGGGGCGGGGTGCGCCCGCGGCGGCAGCGGCGACGGCGAGCGCGGCGAGGAGGAGAGGGAGAGGAAGCATCGCGCGGAGTGGCATTCGGGCGATCGGATTAGCAGCGACAGTGACAACTTATACTGGACTAAATTGAATTAAATAATAATCTACTGTAGTTAGTGAAGCCCATGTAATTAGTTGGGCCGTAACGGTACTGTACCACCTATATATTTATCGATAAATTTTGTCCTAAAAATTTGACAGATGTAATTATAGTACAATCGTAATGTAATTATATTGTAACTTGCATATAACTACAGTGTAACTTGTATTCTCTCCATACTCGTAAAAGAAGTCGTTTAGGACAATGTTTAAGTCAAATCTTGAGAATATAAATCATGAATAACTCTAAAGTTGTTGAGTTTGAAAATGTAAAAATTATATGAATAGATTTGTCTTGAAAAATACTTTCATAAAAGTATACATATATCACTTTTCAATGAATATTTTTATAGAAACAAGAAGTCAAAGTTGTATTTTGGAGACCGTGTCGATGTCCTAAACGACTTCCTTTGTGAGTATGGAGGGAGTATGTAAGTTTCACGTAATTCTGAATCGTGAGATCTATTACAAGATTTGTTCTGGTGAGGAAGAAAAAAACACAACACACACATATGTCAAAGAATTTATTTCCATGACCTCCATTTTACCGAAATAATATGTTACGGAGAAATTTTTGAAAGTTACATTATAGTTACAGTGTAATTACACTACGATTGTACTGTAATTACATCTATCAAATTTTTGGGAGAAAATTTATCAACAAATATATAGCAAAATTGTTCTAGTAACTAGAGGATGCCCCGCGTGTTGCTGCTGGATTTGGTTAACATCGATTTGTTAGATAGGAGGTACAATCTCAAGAAAAAACAAATAGATTTCTTGGAGAAATTCTTTTTAGCAGCCCTATCTAAAATTTGTAGATAATTTAGGTAGCACATGTTAACTGAAGGGGCGTTTAGCCATAAAGCTCTTTTATACGGATTGACAGGCTAAATACATGTAGATGTGTATGGAGATGGGCCAATGTGTTCATGTGGGCTATATTTGGCACTGAGGAGGCGAAGAGACTCACTCGGTAACTAATGAGTTGGGCTCTATGCTGCATTCCATCCAACGTCTGAGAAACGATCTAATGCATTCATCAAACGGTTCACAATTTGATGATGAGTGGAAGCACGAGGTTTGAGCTTTTGGTCTTCACTTTATAGAAAGAAGGATAAGTCTATTTTGCCTCCCTCGGCTCTTGTCCTTGGTTGAATCCTATACCTCAACCACAAATAAACACTGGCGGTCTGGCATCAAATAAACACTACTGCTACACTAGCCGAGAGCCCATATGTTGCAGCGGAAAGCTAATTGAGTTTCTAACATATTAAGTCAATCACATGTAATTATTATTTTTATATTGAACAAGTAGGTGATTTTGAAATTTAGGTGATAACCAACACTGAAACGGAAAAGAACTTGTTGGAGGATGATGTAAATATGTAGTAGTATAAATTGTGGGATCCAAATATTGAGATAGGGTGATATCGTAGAACGAATACGATCACTGCTAACATTTTAAGTAGTACTACGTAGATATGGATACTTCAACATCATGAGATTAGATGAACTACCGATATCCAGAGGTCAAAAGGATTGTTTACATTGAAACAAAGCAGTGCCGGGTGAAATTAACAGCTCTTTTCTTATCCCTCCAGGGATAGATACATACAAGAGTGCTCCATAAAAGTAGAAGCATATTTCTCTTTTAGATAGCTATTGCTGTCCAGGTTCACACAAGAGTTGTATCAGGCACATTCCTTCTGCAAATTCATCAGCCATCTTGAAGCCATAGTCTCACAGTCCTATCATTGTCGAGGCCGCCCGACGCAATTTTGTTCTCCGTTGGATGGCAGGACACCGAGATGACAGTGTCAGTATGGCCTTCAAGTTTCTGAAGAATGTTCTTCCCTTGGAGATCCCATATGTACACACAGTTGTCTTCTGATCCACTAACAATATACTTCCCATTTGTAACGGAAAACGCGGACTGGAGGCAATACTTTCTGTTAACATGTCCACTGTACATCTTCAAGAACTTGCCACTTGCAAAGTTGCATAGTTTCTGAAATTTGGTAAGGACATACTTATGAAGCAAAGGTTGCAATAACCATATATTTTCCAAATGAAATAAATAACTAATTTATAAAAACATTCCGTGAAAAATGAAGTAAAATCACTACATGAGGAAGCCCATGATAGAATAACACAATGCCAAAATTTCTTACAATGTTGCTTGATGTGAAGCATTATTGACCTAAATGCCCATAAAGTTTTACAGATGTAAACAGTACAAGGGCTGAAGGAGTGAAGGTGTATGTATGCACAATGAATACCATGGATCAACCTAATAGTCTAATACTAATATAAAGCACTGATAACAACATTTGCACTGCAAGTTTCATATTTCTTTCATATGCCTCCAATTACTTGAATTATGCATGAAACAGTGATCTGTTATCGTGTGAACTGATGTGCCCAAATAAACTTCAGAAGCAGTTTTTTAAAACCATTTAACAACATAACTATCTGAAGATAAACTTTTCACAGTACTAAGACCACACAGATCAAGAACATGAGGTTTGGTGTGAAACTGGGTAAGTATAGACATACTTAGTTCAACATGTAACATATTGGTTACCTTAAATCTTGGGCAACGGCTTTAACGAAATGATCCTCAGAGTGAAGGATCTTTGATTGTATTGGTAACTATAATTTCTTTTCTGTGTGAAACTGAAACAAGATGTGCTATATGGCCGCCAGTAATACTAGATTAAATAATTAGCAGTTGGAAGAACAATCTGCCTATGAAAAAGACCACGGCGAATACCAGAAATAAAGCTACGATAGGCTTCTATTCAATGTGGAGTGTACCACTGCTATTTCATTTTAATGAGAACCAAGAAGGATTTTTTACTCATTGTCAGGTGTACTTCAACAAAAGCAGAGAATTAGGCCCGAAGCCAGATAGAATCTGCAATGTTGTACTCCATGTACACAGATAATATTTGGCTACAATTTGGAAGAAAAATGTTGCCTCCAAATTGTGGTTTCCACATTATACATGAACAGACAGGGGTTTCCAATCCTCAACAACTATAACAACATTTTCTCAGAGCACCAAAGGGCCTATTTATGAGCTTCAATCGCAGTTCAGTTAAAATAAGACGATGATAGCTGAACAAAAAAATTTCACTGCTTTAACTGATTGATCACTAAATGCATGGAATAGCAGTAAAAATTGATCATACCAGTGTGTCGTCGAGCGCGGCGACGAGGATAAACTTGCCATTGGGCGAGAACATGGAGAATGACACCGCGGGCTTCTTCTCGTCGATGACCGTCTTGAGGCAAGACCCAGTCCCCGCATCCCAAATCTTGCAGGTCCCATCATGGCTCCCCGACACGATGATGGAGCCGTCGCGGATGAAGTGGACGGAGGTGACGGGCTCGGAGTGCGCGTCGATGGCGCGGACGCAGCGGCCGCTCTTGACGTCCCAGATGCGCACGGTGCAGTCGAACCCCCCGGACGCGACCGTGCTGTTCGTCTGCGGGTTGAAGTTGGCGCTAAAGACGAAGTTGGTGTGGCCCTTGAGCACGCGGATGCAGCGGTCGGCGTTGGGGTCGGCGGGCTGGGCGCCGCCGCCGCCGCCGCCGCTGCCGGGGTTGAGGCCGGCGAGGACGGGGCGGACGTCCCAGATGCGGAGGGTGCGGTCGTCGGAGGCGGAGCAGAGGTAGAACGAGTCCGTGGACCAGGAGATGTCGGACACGCCGTCGGCGTGCCCCCGCAGGGTGGCGATGGCGGCGAGCGACGACGGGGAGAGCAGCGCGACCGTGCCGTCGAGGGACGCCGTCGCGAGGAGGCGCCCGCATGGGGAGAACCTCACGCACGAGACGGCGCGGCTGTGCGGGGTCGCCGCCCTCACCTGCCGGTACGGCCGGTACGGCGGCGCCGGCGCCTGCTGCTGCTGCGACATCAGCGGCGGCGCGCCCTCGCCGACGGTGAAAAGGTGGGGAAAAGTGTGAGACGCGTGTTCTCCTCTCTTCGACACGGACCCGAGATTTGATCAAAAGTACCTTCCATTAAAATTGAAATTTGAGGATTTATTTTCTTTGACGCAGGATTTACTTTTTTAAACACAGTAAAAACAGTGCATCCAAAACTACTCCCACTGTCAATAAAATAAAATAAAATACATACTACTAAGAGAGGATGTGACCTCTCCAGCCCTTGTAATACGACGAATCTAGGAGAGAGTAGACCTCAGCGTACACTCTTTCCCTGTAAACATCTAAAAAAACCCTGCTCCCTCCAACTCATAATATAAGGGATTTTGAGTTTTTACTTGTAATATTTAACCACTCGTCTTATTTAATTTTTTTTGCAAATATAAAAAATAAAAAATTATGCTTAAAGTACTTTGGATAATAAAGTAAGTCAAAAAAAAATAATTCTATTTTTTTAATAAGACGAATGGTCAAATAGTATAAGTAAAAACTCAGAATCCCTTATATTATGAGACGGAGGAAGTATAACTTATGGTGACCTCGGATGCCTCGACAGAAACATTGTCAAAATAATTAAACATAAATAGAAATATCTGTGTGAAGTTTAGAATTTAAATGCAAGTGAATAGGTTTCACTACAAGGAAGAAAATTGTTCACTTCTCGAGAATTTACTCGTATTTGGTTAAGAGCAGGTAGCATAGCAAAGTATAAACCAGCTATAAACATATGTCGAGAAGATAAAAGAAAAGAGAGATGAACAACAAGCTATTTATAGCTAGGTGTAACACGGACTCCAAGACACGATGTATATTATGACAGGTGAGACCATCTATTAATAGTGGTTATATGTTTATAGATAACTAATAATTGGCTATATCTCTAACACTAAAACGTGGCTATAGCTCTAACACAAACGTGGACAAGAGGGACCAGGATCCTCTGTAGCCGAAGTCACTTAACTTTATCACTGATATGTGGGTTTGATAATCCCTAGATTCACATGTAAGTGATAAAAATATCGTGCATTTGACTGCAGAGAGCATCTCAGTCCGGATAGGAGGGGTAAATCACAGTTACTGTACCAATCCAAAATATTTGGTCAAATTTTACGGTTGCGGATTCGCGACTTCACGTTTCCCCTTTCCCTATCGGCGGCGTCCCAAATAGCGAATCGGTTCGTGTAAAAAAAAAAGTGAGCCGCTTAGCCTCGCCGGCGCCGCCTCTCTCCGGGAAGCGGCGGCGAGAACGCGGAGGAGAGAGAGAGTTCGGGGTTGGCCCGTCGCGTCGCCGGAGCGATGGATCTTCTGAAGAGGGAGCTGGAGAAGAAGCGGAAGGCGGCGACGGCCGACTTCGGCGGGAAGAGCTTCGTGCGGCGGTCGGAGCTGGAGCAGAAGCAGCTCCAGAAGCGGCGCCACGAGGAGCACCGCCAGCTCCTCTCCAAGGCCCCGCCGGCGACCTCCTCCGCCTCCGCCGCGGGCTCCGACCCCAGCAACCCCAACGCCGACCCGGCCCAGTCCTCCGCCGCAAACCCTAACCCTAACTCCTCCTCGTCCGCCGCCGCCGCGTCCGTCCCGCCGGGCCTCGCGGGGAAGAAGACCGCGCAGGATGAGGCGCTCCTCTCCGAGGAGCGCCGGATCGACGAGCTCGACCTCCCGCGGCATGAGGTGGTGCGGCGCCTCCGCATCCTGCGCGAGCCCGTCACGCTGTTCGGGGAGGACGACGCCGACCGGCTCGCCCGCCTCAAGTTCGTGCTCAAGTCCGGCGTGATTGACGACATCGACGACCTTGACATGACAGAGGGGCAGACGAACGACTTCCTCCGTGACATGGTCGAGCTCCGCAAGCGGCAGAGGGCTGGCCGGGACACCTATGTCAAGGGCAAGGGCAAACGAGCGGGCGGCGGTGATGGCGGCGAGGGTGGCGCTGGCGGGGATAATGCTGATGATGGGGATGGGGACGGCCGGAGGAGTGGGGATGATGCTGATGCGGACAAGGACTCGAAACGGATGAAGACCAAGTTTGAGGAGCTGTGTGATGAGGACAAGATCTTGGTGTTCTTCAAGAAGCTACTCATTGAGTGGAACCAGGAGCTTGATGAGATGCCGGAGCTGGAGAAGAGGACAGCAAAGGGCAAGTCGATGGTCGCAACCTTCAAGCAATGTGCGCGGTATCTCAGCCCCCTGTTTGAGTTTTGCAGGAAGCAGGTGAGAATCCTTTTGTACTGCATCAATAAGTTACATAAACAATGCATTGTTAAATGTTAATTTGGTTGTGTCTATAACTTCAGTAATTGTTAGAAAAAACTTTAACTAATAAAACAATGGTGTGGATTAGGATTTGAAATGAAGCTTGTAGCTGAATGGCTTACGTCGAAGTTATGATCCTGGGACCTGGGTAACTGGTTACCATGATGAATGCAATTTTATGACCATATCAGAAAGAAGAGATGGCAAAGCTCGGCATCTATGTTTTTTGTAGAAACTGTCTAACTGTTTGTGCTTCACTGTTCGGAGTTTTTATATTTTGTGGTAATTGTGTTGACCTCTATGCAAGGTATTTGGGTTCTTAAAGAACAGCTTACTAGCATATCAAGAAGCTTTAGTGTCGAGAAACACAATGACCATTGGAATTATAAATTTTGCAAAATGATCTATCCGTTCCAATATAGAAACTGGCCTTACACTTGGTTACTTGAACGGAATGAGTCAATATCAACTATATAAATAAAATTCTATCTGTGTTTGCATAATTTTTCAATTATCATTTCGATTGCTCTGTTTCAGTAAGGTTTTGTGGTTATTTAGAGGATAGTATGAGATACAGTGATGGTTATGAACTTATGATGAATATGTAGTGGTAGGCAGGTAGAGCAAGATAACAATGTCATCATATAACATGTATGCTGACTACTTTTTGCGCTCACGGAATTATTTGTAAGTTTGATAACCTATGCATGAGGAGTACCAACTCACATGCACACAATACCGATGCATCATTAGTGCTCTCAAATACATGATGAAGTGAAATTCTTTGGATGTTTTGGGAGCAGGGGCTCATGTTTTTGGCAACATCCAGATTTGAAGCCCTAACTCCAACAATTATTTCTTGCATGTTTAAAACTTTTGTTGTTTATTGGGATTTGCCTTTGTTCTCTACTAGCATTATATTCTGATCCTGAATTCACTGTTATATAGATACTTAGCTGTCCAGATTTAGTACTGGCATTGAAATTAAATTTCTACAAAATTATGCCTTCTGTCATGGATTCAGCCTCAATGTAATTTTGGATTTCCTTGCAGTGGATCCAGTTTCTTACTATACCTTGTTGAGCTAAATCATATTGCTCATATGGGGGATATTTTTATGCATTTTAAGGCTACCTATGACTTCCTTGACTACATATTGTTTGGCAACTCTGATACCAATTATTGTTTTGATTTATGTTTAGGTTCTTCCTGATGACATCCGTCAAGCATTGCTCGTTATTGTTGAATGCTGCATGAAGCGTGATTATTTAGCAGCAATGGACCAATACATCAAGCTGGCCATTGGCAATGCACCATGGCCTATTGGTGTCACTATGGTTGGTATCCACGAGCGTTCGGCCCGAGAAAAGATCTACACAAACAGTGTGGCGCACATTATGAACGATGAGACCACTCGCAAGTACCTTCAGTCAATCAAGAGGCTTATGACCCTTTGCCAGCGACGTTATCCTGCTCTGCCCTCAAAATCGGTGGAGTTCAACAGCCTGGCAAATGGGAGTGACCTGCAGGCCCTTTTGTCAGAGGAGAAAGATCCAGGAAACCCTCCTAGCGAGGATAGGCTTCGACTCATGCCAGCGTCAAAAGAGTGATGCTTCAACGCACAAGCTTGGATCACAAATAGAATATTTGTAATCTGTGTAATGTGTAAACCAAATTTTCCTGCTCTTATTTTCATTTTTGTACTCTTGCAAGAATCTGAGAATATTGCCTGCTAATCAAATTACTGAAGAAAGCAATATACTGTCTGCTTCTCTCCTAGAAGAGTTCACTGGCTAAGGTTCCATGTGTAAGTTTGGTTGAATAAAACCATTCTAATGTCTTTGCTGTGCAACAAAGGTGTATGCTGGCAAACTTATTAGATTCATCAGGTTGGTTAAGAACCGAGTAGTCGAAAAAAAAACTTGCTGTATTTATCACATGAAAGAGAAGAATTCAGGAAGCACGTGCTTGAGATGTGCAACAAGATTATCTGGACAGCTACAACTTGGATTTTTCCTGAACCTGCCTAGTAGCTCACTGCTGCCTGGTACTCGTGCCCATTAATTTCGTTTGCCTTGTTTTGCAGGTGTAGTTCAGCAGCTATCCCTGCCTCGCTTCTGCTGGATTCTGGGTAAGTGAGCCCACTGCATCAGCAACAAATGATATTTTGCTTATCATATGAAGGGATTTTTGGCGCGAATGGATTGTTTTGCCTAATTCTTACGTTTTTAGCAGCTGTGCTGAATGCTTGTTTGTGGGTGATGTTAGGCTCCATGCTTTTGATCCTCTTTATCTCTTCCCTGACAACAAAAAGGAATGTTAATACTTCCATCACCTCTCAAGTCTCACCTGAATATCGAGGGGGGACATTTATATAAGAATATTCAGAGCCATGTATGCTCTAGGTGATGCTCTGCAATTGGCCCTCAGTCTAGCTATGATCACAGTATATACTCATTTTGTTTTTCTGGGCTATTACTTGACGAAACAGTTGTAGGCAGACGGCGTCCGCTGCTTCCTCCCTGGCGCTGCAGAAATGTTTCAAGAACATGCTTAATTAGCCCATCATGATCGTCATTATCATCTTCAGACAAACTGATCAAGAGAAAACAGCAGGACAAGTACGCTTGTTTGCAACAGCAGCAGCAGCAGGTGCAGGTGCATCGTCCTCTGCATCTCTTCCCTCCCTATCGTCTCCGCTGCTCTCATCCGAGTACTCCCCCGGCGGCGGACCAGCGTCCAGCTCCTGTTTCATCTCGTCAGGTTAGTACAGATTCTGCACATCATCCAATCATTTTCATCAACTGAAGCTGAAAAGAATCATACCTGTGGAGTCAGCTCGATGGACGCCGACACCGGCGACGGCGGCAGGTTGACGGCGGAGAGGATGCCGGAGCAGTGGCCGCACTGCACGGCCACCACCCTGAGCACGCTGCTGCACGGCACGCTCACCTGCACGCATGGACAGCATCCAGCTTATGCATGGCCATGGGGAGCCAGCCAGATAGGTAAACTGATCGGTTTCGCTCTTCCTTACCAGCAACACGGTGGCGCAGAAGCTGCACTGCACGCAGCCTAGCCGCTCCCGGAGACCGGAGCAATGGTGGCGCGCCGCCGACGACATGGCGACTCCGACAACGACGACGACGACGAGCAACGTAACATCCAGAGCTGCCAGGCTCACAGTTTATAGGAAGTGGCCACTTGCAAGAACCGGCTTAACTATCATTACTGGATAAAGATCCGAACATTATCTTGCAATTGGAGTTGGAGCATGTGCATGGCAGACAGAGCTATCTCGCAATCAATGGAACTCGACCAGTTTCTGAATTCTGATGCAAGTGACTCGAACAGGCAGCCATGGCAGCATCTTGGGACAGGGCCCTTGTTTCTCAGTGCAGCTGAGAGAGTAATGGAAAAATCTTATCAGGCCAACACCATGAAGGCGAACCAGAACCAGAACAAGAACCCAAGAAGAAGCAGAGCATGTGAAAACGAGGGCTTCTTGCAGTCTGCAGATTTGGAAATACAGTTACTCCTGCATCTGCATATATATCATCGATCAGAAGATGATAGCTCAGCAATTCAGATTGCCGACCAGGGATTCCTCGGCTGGGTAGTTTCAGAACCTTGTAACTGCAAAGATTCCTACATTTCGGGCAGGGACTGGACTGTAGATTCTTCGACAAAGGGGCTAGTTACTAGTTACCACTTACCCACTTCTGAAGTTCAGAACTTCAGATGCACACAGCACACATGGAAGAATGCCTGAAAAATATTGGCTTTGTTAGTATTACTCTCTACTAATTTCTCCAGTTTTAACATGTTCAGTTCATAGTTTGGGCTAAACTTTTCAGATTTATGCAATTTGAAACTCACCCAAAATTTGAATTTTGTAACTTCATTTTATTTATAGTTGATTTTGAGGATCGTAATTTACATCTTAGTACTGGCTTTTGGGTTGGCTTTTAGATCACTAGGAAGACAGATATAAAAACTTTCATCCATTTTTAGTTGCTTAGTTTATTTTTTCATGCTTTATCGGCCATAACATTTTTGGTTTGTCTCTATTCTCTTTCATCCTAAAATATATCTGTCCCAAAATGTTAATTCCTTCATCCAAAAAAGTACGAACATCTAATTGTAATTTGAACTAGAGAGCTACACTTATTTTGGTATGAAGAAAGTACTATCTAGTATAGGACATGATATTCGTAGTTTTAGAAAATATCGTATCCTATACTAAATTGGAGGTAGTAGCAGCACTGCTATATTTTAGATCTTATCTTTTCGTTTATGCTTATACTTATCAGCCAAATTTTGAACTTTTAACCTTAAATTTGGAGATGATTTTGAGGTTTTTTTCATCGAAGTTTATTTTTCAGCCTTTGCTTTTAGATAGCTAAGAACACGTATATAAAAATTTTATTTACAGATTACTTTTCATTTACAAATAAACTGTTTTGCTTATTCAGCGAAATGATGGCTCCGTTTGGAGTGAGAGAGTATTAATCACAAACACGTGCAGTGCAGGGAAGCAGAAAAAAAAAATCACATGAGCTCCTCTGATCTTGGCAGTCAACAGTTCAACACCATCCAGCCATCCACCTTCCCCCTGAGTGTAGCGTGCGCGGCCATGGCGGGCGGAGACGCCGAGGAGGAGGAGGAGGAGGAGGAGGAGACCTACACGACGGACGACGCGCTCACGCGCGCCGGCTTCGGCAGGTTCCAGGCCCTGGTGCTCGCCTACGCCTGCGTGGGGTGGGTCGCGGAGGCCATGGAGGTGATGCTGCTGTCGTTCGTGGGCCCGTCCGTGAAGGCTGAATGGGGGGTGTCCGGCGCGGCGGAGGGGCTCGTCAGCAGCGTCGTCTTCGCCGGGATGCTCATCGGCGCCTGCCTCGGAGGCCTCATCTCGGACAGATACGGCAGAAGGTATCCTTTTATTTTCTTCTTTCCCTGCAGTTTCCTGATTGCCACGCTTCAGTCCAAGTACATATATTTCAATTTCGGGTGAGTGATCAGGAAAATTTGTCAAGAGATTTCTATTTCGTGCAAATTGTGCTGACCAACAGCATGCGCAATTCAATCTCTTCTTTTCTTTCTGAGTGTGCTGGATCCAAGTATTCATGATTGAACACTTGGTTTATTCCTCCTCATTTCAATGAAAATTGGCGTCTTGCCGATTTCGTTCAAAAAAAGAAAAATGATTGAACACTTGGTGAGGTTATGCAAAATTGTTTAGGTAGTTTGAGAATTATATGGAAGTAATGCCCTTGGGGTGTGTTTAGTTCACGCCAAAATTGGAAGTTTGGTTGAAATTGGAACGATGTGACGGAAAAGTTGGAAGTTTATGTGTGTAGGAAAGTTTTGATATGATGGAAAAGTTGGAAGTTTGAAAAAAAAAAATTGGAACTAAACACGGTGCAAAAATGAACATACCATTTTGACTGAATTCTCTCCATTCAAACAGCAATCAAGTTTATCTTAAATGTACTTGCCTATGCAAAAGCTATACTACATCTGATATGTATATGCTGTTCTCCATTTCCAGGATCGGTTTTCTTTCCACGGCAGTTGTCACTGGTATATTTGGTTTGCTCAGTGCCTTCTCCCCCAACTACGCATCCTTGCTCGTCCTCCGCTTTGTTGTTGGTTTGGGATTGGGTGCTGGCCATGTGCTGTCCACTTGGTTCATAGAGTTTGTTCCTGCTGCAAAGAGAGGTACCTGGATGGTCGTTTTCCATTGCTCTTGGACTGTGGGAACAATCTTGGAAGCTCTGCTTGCCTGGGTATTTTGCTACTTATTTCTTCACTCTTTAATTCTCACTGGGCGGATATCTGTATGATTACAACCTAAGAAAACATGTAGACCAAGTTGTAATATTCAAATGCTTAAAGGCTTTTTACACTTTTTTTAGGGAAATCACAACCTTTACATTAATCAATTTACATAAATCGCTAACTGCACATTTTATGTATATGCTTAATGCAGGCTGTCATGCCAGTACTTGGGTGGAGGTGGCTGCTTGCATTGTCTTCGGCCCCATGTTTTATCCTGTTCATTTTCTTCCCCGTAACACCTGAATCACCAAGGTATCTATGCTCAGTAGGAAGAACAATGGACGCTAGGGTCATCTTGGAAAAAATAGCAAGAATGAACAATAGCTCTCTCCCTCCTGGCATACTGACTTATGCCTCCACAAGGAGAATCGACAAAGTGCTCGATGATTCTGAGACAGCACTTCTAATTACAGAAGATGGTGGTTCTGGAATTGATGAGCATACAAGTTCCAAGCCTGGTGGAATTACTGCACTTCGAGAATCTTGGTCATATGATCTAATAAGATCAACCTTTCTTCTTTGGTTTGTCTATCTTGCAAATTATTTTGCTTACTATGGGGTAATATTGTTGACCTCTGAACTGAGCAATGGTCAGAGAAGGTGTGCATCAGTTGGGATAAATTTTATGCAACCAAAGGATGCCAACCTTTACAGAGATGTGCTAGTGACCAGTTTGGCAGGTACGACTGTGCAATTGTGCTCCATCACGATCTTTTCCTTCACTCTTTAGGTTCGATGGGCTTCTACCGTTCCAGAGTTTCATCTGTTGATTCACCATATTTGGGCAAAAAACTAGAAATCATCAAAGTTATTTTTTGTTGAAAAATTTCTGACCCTAAATCAGTATTTAAGGTTCCTGAAGGAGAAACTAAATGGTAGCAGGCAATTAAAAAAAGTTTTCTTTTAACAAGTTGTTCAATAAAATTGTTATCCTAGTAATTGCTGCTTAGTCCTTACTCATCTAGTGTTAGGATTTGAATTTTAAGAAACTAGATTAGTAAAAGTATAAAGATTTAGTTCATACACTTAACCATCAGTAGTAGAAGTGAAACATAGCATATATAAACATTAGAGAAAGAACTTGCTGAACTAAAATGCTTAGACTAAATCTCCAAAAAAAGAGGTTATAATAGTTTTTTTTAGAAAGAGAGGTAACCCTCTCCCATTTTTTCTAATATCGGAAATAGCACCAAGCTCTTACAGTCAAAAAGCTTATAACAACGCTGAGGTTAATTTCATAATCACTTCAATGTTCCGACTGCTAAAAATACATGTTTGAATTGACAGAATTTCCAGGTCTGGTTTTGGCGGCTCTATTGGTTGACAGAATTGGTCGGAAAGTGTCACTGGGGATCATGCTTTTGTTGTCCTGTGCTTTCCTTGCACCACTTGCTGTACATTTGGGACAAGGTTCAGTAACTACTCTTCTATTCTGTGCCCGGACTTGCATCATGGGAGGCTTTGCTGTTCTATACGTGTATACCCCTGAGGTCAGTGCCAACTGCCAACTATCCCACCCTGGTGCATGCTACTAGATTTACCTTTTCCATTACCTGTGAATAATCCATTTTCCATCCTAAAAGTAAGTCTTAAGTACTTCCGTCTGACAAAAGTGTATGTGACATAACTTAGAGGCTATCATACATGCTGCAGTACAATGATGAGTGGAGGCAATGCCACGTTAAAGCATTGCCTTACTGAAATATACATCTCAAACATATGAAAATTAGTGCAAAACAAATAAAACATGGCAAAAGTTATAGGAGCTGACCCCATGGGGGCATGTCTACAGCATGGATGGAGAATATCACTACAGTAGCTTATAATCATCTGTAAGATATTTCTACTGATCATATGAACCGTGAAGCAGCTGAAACCAAATCAAATCCCACAAGATTGCTAACTTGCTGCAGCATGTGTACATAAAGATTCTGTTGCTTTTAATGTATTGATAATTCACTTCTAATGGAAATCGATTTCCAATCAGGCAATCATGCAGCGTGATGGTCTATCGCACATTACTGAAAAACCATGCCTGATGTATCAAACTTTGTTGCACAAATTATTGTGGTACCAAAAGCTGCATTATATAATGCTAATAAACAGCCTCTCTAATCCCATTCATGCCATTTCTGTGCAGATCTATCCTGCATCATCTCGCAACACGGGGGTAGGAATCACATCTTCCTTTGGCCGGATTGGCAGTATAGTTTCACCTGTGGTGACTGTTAGTTTGTCAGAGAACTGCCGCCAGAAAGAAGCAGTGTTTTTCATGGACCTGATGCTCTTTCTAGCAGCAGTGGCATGCGCCCTCATCCCTCTAGAGACCAAGGGCCGGCAAATCCAGTGAGGCAGTGATGCTTTCTTCAGTTTGATGTACAGAATCACATTACATTTTGGTCAATTGGAGACTAGGGCATTCTTTCTTATCCAGCACATATTTACACCTGCCAAAATTCACTGACATTTTGGATTCAACAAAGATGTGTTCACCTTTCATGTGCAATTGCAGTGTTGCAACAACTGAAATGCACCAGCTAGCTCTCAATTCCATACAAGGGTGAAGACTGAAAAAGGTAGCAGCAACAACTGTATTAAATTTTGAAACTCATGAAAGGGTTGGATTAAATTTTGGATTAAAGTGGCATGCTTTTCAAACTGTTAAATGGTACGTTTCGTATGAAAATTTTCTATATGAAAGTTGTTCTAAAATATCAGATTAATCCATTTTTCAAGTTTGTAATAATTAAAACTCAATTAATCACACGTTATTACCATCTCGTTTTGCGTGAAACACTTAATTTTCATCTTCATCTTCAGAAGATTCAAACACCACCTAAGTGTACACCTTGCCTACGCTTGGCATGGAGGCCTTTGTTCAACACATCCTGTAAGAAAAATTGGGAAGATATTTAGAGGGAAACGTCATGAATCTGAACTAAGAAAACTGCCGTGTGAAAAAAGAGAGCTCTCTGCTTTAAGATAGGAAAGAGACCACATATGCAGAGTTTTTTTTAAAAAAAAAAGTCTGTAAACTACAAGATCTCAACAGTTTTGTCAATGACCATGGCAAAATGGCATTTTCTACAAGTGTAGACACATTCAATGGCAGTATGGCACAGTATTCACAGGACAAATTGTCCAAAAGATGAACTTCCAAATGAAACTGCATTGTAGAATCGGTTGTTTCGGCTTCTTGTAGGAGAATTTACTATTTATCATCCTCCCAAAATGCATATGCACAAATACCGCTCTCTCAAATTTTCATGCACATTTGCCACTGAACTCACATGTCAGCCTCATCCTCCATTCGGACAAATGAGATATGGGATCGGGTGCACATTTTGGGAGAATGGCAAATAGTAAATTCTCCCTCTCGTTGTAATGCGATTGCCCATGCATGTTCTTGGAAAAAGAAGCAACTACAACATCTGCATTTGCAGATATGTTACTAGTATTAAGCAGTTGCAGGTGGGTACATTAAGGTTTGCAAAATGCACACGGGAAGAAATAAGCAGATCAACCAGGACTCCATTGGCCCCCTACCCAGATCAACATTATAATTGATTAAGGGACTACATATATACTCCCTCCATCCCAAAATGTTTGACACCACTGACTTTTTTAAAAATGTTTGACCGTTCGTCTTATTCAAAAGATTTAAGTAATTATTAATTCTTTTTCTATCATTTGATTTATTGTTAAATATAATTTTATACATACATATAGTTTTTACACATTTGATAAAAGTTTTTAAATAAGACGAACGGTCAAACATATTTAAAAAAGTCAACGACGTCAAATATTTAGGGAAGGAGGGAGTATATATATACGCCGTCCAAATTAGTCAACATATAGCTCTCGTTTGGTAAGGAATGGAATGACAATAGTATTCATAATACCTGATAACTTCCTGGCTTTCGACAAACATAACATAGTACTTGTCCAGATCGGGATTTCATCATCTATCCCTCATAGTCACAGTCTGACAGAACAGATCACTCGTTAGATCGAACAAGAAATGAAGCTCCAACATGATCGAGGAGCAGCATGCGGGTGTACATGATGACCATCTTCTTGGCTGTGCTCTTTGGATCCCTTGCAACGCCTGCACTATGTAAACAAACACACACATTTTACCATCTAAATTACTGTCGTATGGGAACCCAGCTTTCGATTGAAATTTAGAATATTTTTCTCACTCTAGATCTAAGTTAAAAATTTAGGGTTACATAGTGATCAATGAATGCGTCATGAATGGATTATTTATGTCACTAAAAGTATAGCAGCAAGTCATTCTCATCAGTTCAGCACAGGAAACAACTCTGCAAAATGGCCACACCAACAGTGTAGTTTTCTGATGTAGCCGCCGCCGTGGTCACCGACTCTGGCACCCGCAGCACATGACGTCGGATGAAAATTTCTCGATCTTGTGCGTGGAAGCAGGTTGTCCACCGAACAGGAGCAACCCGTCGCCACAATGCTGCTACTGCTTGATAGGACCCCATAAACCTCGGTGGAGGTTTGTGGACTGCAATACTTGCCTACGATGCAACCCCAAGGTGTGCCTGCTGATGGCTTCGTCTCCGGTGCCATGACGAGATGGGAGGACAACAACCGTGATGACTGCTACGAGCATGAATTAATGCTTCTAGTTACTCTCTCTATGGATCATGTAGGCAAATAAAAACTAAGGTTTGTTTCTTTATCTTGTTAATGGATAATGAGGCCCCCTAATATCAATATTAAGTGGAAAACCCGAGAAAATCATCATAAAAGAAAGACATTTTGGCCTTTTTTTTTTAGATATTTTATGCAATTTCTTTTAGAATCTTTCAAGCAGTTTAGATTGGATACATATCAAAATTTATCTTGCCACGTTGGTTTAATATTTAACCATTCCTTATATTCTGCTACGTCTTGGATAACATAAAACTTTAGTTTTAAAAGAAAAATCTTTTGAAAGCATCGTTCAAAAGATTTACCCCTACTATTTTTTTAAGCTGTACAAAGAGAGAATTCAGAGGAACTACTGAAAAAACACTAGAAGAAGCCAGGAAAGTTTCTTTCAGTACACCAGCGCTGCCACGGTGCCACCGCCGCCGGCTCACCCGCCACGCGCAACCGCCCGCCGCCGCCTCCGTCTCCAGCCGCCATGGTCTCCCTCCGCTTCCCCGCCGCCACCTTCCCGCGCCTCCCCCCACCCCGGCCTCCCAGCCGCCCGGCCTTCGCCGCCGCACTCGCCGCGGCGGCCGCGGCAGCAGCGGCCGCCGCCGCAAGCCTCACCCTCACCGCCAAATCCGCCGGCCGGCCGCCGCTCCCGCACCCCGCTCCTCTCTGGGCCTCCATCTCCCTGGCCGACGGCGCCGCATTCCCCGCCGAGACGTCCGGCGGGCGCCGCCTCCTCGGCGTCGGCCTCCGCAGGACCACCATCCTCGGCCTCAAGTCCATCGACGTCTACGCGTTTGGTAACCATCCACTAAAGAACACCTCATCTTCGATCCCTCCATTCGAAAGAAGAACTCGAAACCGGACGAAATCTGGAAAATGCTGATGTGTTGTGTTGCAGGTGTGTATGCGGATGACCACGATCTGAGACAGCTGAGGGAGAAGTACCAGAAGCTCCCTGTCTCTCAACTGAAGGAGAACGCCGAGCTGATCAACGATGCGTTGGAGCGTGACATACGGATGACGGTCAGGCTCCAGATTGTGTATGGGAGGTTGAGCATTCGATCCGTGCGAAGCGCGTTCGAGAAGAGCGTGGGAAGCAGGCTGCTGAAGTTTGGGGGATCAGACACTCATGAGTTGCTTCAGAGGTAATTGTGATTCTGGCAGTGGTTTCTGCTGTTTATCTTTCCATCAGACAAACAATGAAAGCTTCCTTGCCACTGATTCATTGTTGCAGACAAGCTCACAACAATGCTTCCTTTGTTCCACATTTGACTTGCTATATTTCTTACCAGTTACCTTAGGTTCAATTTAGTGTCAGTTTAAGTGAGGTTTGGCGGCCGAATGCATGAGCCTTTCTGCAGTCCTTTTGAAAGGGTGGTACCAAATTACAATTCGGCTAGTTGTTAAGAGAACTCCAAGTTCATTGTGCAAAATGTATGTAGTTTCATCTTGGAGCTAGAAAGAAGTCAGAATGCACATTGAATGATTCTTGATGTAATGCTGTTGTGCTTTTCATCAGATAAACAAGAAAGAAAGGATTCCTGGATCTAGAGAGCTTTAATTCTCACATGCAACAATAGTTAGTTGATAGCAATTATTTTGTACTACTTCCTTCGTCCTAAAATGTAGCTACCTAGTACGGGATGTGACATTACTTAGTACTACGAATCTGGACAGGAGGCTGTTGAGCTGTTGAGTTACTCATATTATAGTTTCAAGTCTGTCAGTGTCAGTTTAATTAAATAATGTTGCTCTATTTATTGTGTTGACGGGTATGTTCCAATCTTAGTTCATCATGCTAAATGATTACTATACAAGTTTCTTCTCTCTTTGACACCTTGATTTCCACAGTTTCGTTTCACTTTTCAAGGATGAATACAAATTACCAAAGGGGTCCGTGATTGAGCTCTCAAGGGAGTCGAGCCATGTGCTTAAAATAAGTAGTAAGTTCAATTTTCACTTTTTCTTCCCTTTCTTTGTAGTAGTTCTTTTTTAGACAGCTTTCTAGTTGATTTGAGACATTGTAGATAGTATTTACTTTGATGGAACGAAGGATTTTGAGAGTCAAAAAGAAATATTGTTACAATGAATGGACATGCATCTGATACAGTGACCTGGGGCCATTTTCTCATTCTATTCATGCATTTGGTCGTAGTGTTGAGTGCATGAAGCGAATAAGTCAGCACAGATAATACTATAGAAAATCCATGACCTTTCATAATTAAAGGAATAACTTTTTATCCTGTTTTCGTCCTATCACACCAAAAAGATAAGAAAGAAGAAAGAAACAGTGCAATCATGTAGCATCTGTGAGGTAGCATTTCAATGCCATAATAAATCCCTGTCATGTTTTATTCCTGTTTATTTCCTTTTCATATGAGTTCCCAGTAAAAATTAAACAGACACACCTAAGTACCTAACATTCTTCATTAATAAGCTATCTTCTGTGTTTTTGTGTAGTTGAAGGAGAAGAATTGGGGAGCATACAGAGCAAGCTTTTGTGCAAGTCTATTTTAGATCTTTACATTGGAGACGATCCATTTGACAAAAATGCAAAAGAAAGCGTCCAAGAAAACATGGCTTCTATTCTTAAGAACTGAAAGGGAGGCGGGTTAAATGGCAGATATCATGTTTTGAAGAGCTCGCCGTTTTATTTCTGGTAGTTCTGACTTATGAGAGCACTCTTATGTCTGCTCAAGTATATTCTTCGCAGCCTTTCTTATCTGCGTACTAATTTTACTCTTCTAGCCTTGAACTCTCTCTTGAAACGGAATGAACGGAGTAACCTTGAATTTTTCGTCTTGCAAGGCATTTCAACGAATGGAAATTGACCCAAGTAAACATATTCAGAGGGAGAAAAAAGTGACAAACTGGTGGGTTATGCAAATGCCCCATAGATCTGTACAATAGTTAGATCCATCATTGTTTGGTACAGAACTACAGATGCAGTGATGCTGAGGCGCCACCTTTAACATCAGACCAGCCCGAGTGCTCTTGAACAGACATTGAGGCTACTGATACTGAGGCCCTGTTTAGATTCCAACTTTTTTCTTCAAACTTTCAATTTTTCTGTCACATCGAACTTTCCTACAAACACAAACTTTCAAACTTTTTCGTCACATCGTTCCGATTTCTTCAAACTTCCAATTTTGGCGTGGAACTAAATTACTAAACACAGCCTGAACTGCCTTAGTGCTGTTCTGCACTGATGGACATATATGGACATTACTTCTTGTTCTTTTCTTGCTGGAAAGACGGTTTCTTTGATTTCATCACAGGTTTGCTGTGATATCTGAAGCAGAAAAGACACATGTTGTGTTTATTCCTGGAGACAAAGGTCTTAGATTACTTTGCAAGTTTTGGCAACCCGGGGCGGCGAAGAAACATGACAGGTGAGTTTAGCTTCTCCAATGTGATCATCGTCGCGCGGTGTCGTGCACGAAATGTCCCTCGGTGGCTTTCTCCCAATAGAGAAACAAAAGTTTCGACCCCCGATGACCACGTAAGGTGATCGATAAGGTTTGTTGATGCTACGTCGACCTGTCGCTACGGCTCGATGGTGTCGTCGAACAGAATAAGATCGAGTTGGGTACATAATGGAAGGCCAATTTGAGAAGAAGGTGCCCCAACAATGGCAGAAAAACGCAAAAAAAAAAAAAACTAATTGAGTTTTCTAACAAAGAAATTAATTTATTCTTCTATTTACCTATCTCAGATAAACTACCTCTGATTTTAATAGATGACGGCATTGATTCTGGTGATCATTGTTCTTATTTGAAAAATCACATAATTATTATTTATTTTGTTGCGACTTGGTTTATCGATAAAGTTACTATAAACATCACTTACTTTTATATATATATGCACGAATTTTTGAATGATACACATGTTAAAAGGTTAAATGACGTCATCTGTCAAAGAACAATATATATCTTTTGTGTGATGAATGTAAAAGAAAAGAAGACTAAAATGAGTCACCACTTCCATTCTAAAAAAGAAGAAGAAGAAGAAAATGTACCATTTATTAGTTGCGATGGGTTTGCGTTATGGCGATACATTTTGTTTAGCACAACTCTAGATCTTAAATTCACGTTGGATTTAAAGCAAATTTTATATTTTATTTAAAATAACAATAAAATAATTTATTTAAATATTATCAACATAATACATATCTGAACTTATGGATTTGTAGAACTAGAAGTACCCAACTAAAATAGTTTTTTTTTTATTAATCTGGAATTGTGCCAGCAAGAACCATAGTTTGATCAGTTTAATTTATGCACATATCTTTTTTTAATAATTGTACATAAAATAAATTTACATTAATAGAACCAGAAGCAATCCAATTCTGTTTCTAAATTCCGACCACCGGCAAAATCCTGATAATGATCGATTGTCCCCGCTATGAACACGCATCTTATTAATATAGTATGAAAAAGAAATAGCATGGAGTAGTTTAATTAGCTTAAGAACACGCCTTGTAGAGTGCTATACCTGTTGTACTTAGTTACGGCGACACGTTTGCATCAGGCGCGGGTGAATTAACTGAAAATCAATCCTGAGTATGTACGTAACCGAAAAGAAGAGGCTTTCATAAAAACCTTTTCTTTTTTCTTTTGTTTTCCTCTTTCTTCACCCTTGCGCTGCCGTTCCGCTCGCCCAAAAAGCACCCCAATCTTTCCGCTCGGAGAAAAAAAAAAGAGCGATTCCTTTGCGCGCCTCGCGATTCGTCGAGCTCGTCATCCTCGTGATCTTCCTCCTTCCTCCTCCTCCGGAGAAGCGTGGGGGCGCGCGTTTCTGCTCGCGCCTTCTTCTCGTTCTCATCATTTTTCCAATTGGTGTATATAGCGGCGTACTCGGAGAGATCGGAGATCTGATCTAGTAGGCGGCAGGGTGGGGGTCGACCCCGAGGGCTGCGAGATGGGACCCGCCGCCGCTGACGACGCCGCTGCCGGCGAGGACCAGGCTTTGTCCGGTGAGCCTCCTGCTGCTGGCTTGTCTTGGCTTTTTTTTTTTGGTCTGTCTGAAATTTTGGTTTTTGAAGCCACGTAGAGGTTCAGGGATTTGTTGCTGTTATTTTCAAGATTCCATGGTTTAATATGTGGAATTAATAAAAAGATTTTCGTTAGATGTTTCATGGACCTGCGAATGCGTGTCATTGAGGTTTTCCCGAAAATTTGGAATTTGTTTCCTTTTCTTCTATTCATAGGGACGATTCAATGATCTGTGGCCTGCTTTCCTTTCCTGCTGATACTAAGGAAGGATTGAACTGTCCTCCTTTGCTGGTTATATTACATGCTTGATTTTGGTATATTTCATCTACTTTGTTGGACTTAAGAGGATCCCTCTCTCCATGGTTGTTAGACATTGCTAAATTTTTTTTAATTAGGTGTTGGAGTTGTTGACTAGATTTACTAGTAATGCTCGAATTGAGGCTTTTAGTCAATATTTCGTTCATTTAGATTATGGAATTTGAAATAAAACTAGTACTTTTTCATGCTATTTTCTAATCGAGCTTCATGCTATTTTCTAATCGAGCTTTAGTGTGTGTTTTTGTGGGAATAACCAACCTATGGAGTGATTGGGTATTACTGTTCAGCATTTACAAATGTAAATTCAATTTTCAAGGCATTGTACACAACAAAATTTCTACTCCGTAGTGCCCACGATGCGTAGTTTCTAAACCTGGGGTTTCCAATGCGCGCTGTGGCTGCATTTTTTCCGTACACCACCGAAACATGGATAAGTCCGACAGGTCAAAGTGTCATCATAAGAAGGCAACAAATTGGGCTCATGCTTTGGATTCTCCATACTCCATACCAATGAATGCCTTGTCTGTTTGTCGTATTATTGATATCAAATTACTGTATATTTCTTCTGTAACTGGTTTACTCTATGTTTCAGACCTTCGTGAAAAGCATCAATTTGACCTGGAGAGATTAACGCTAACATCGCAGCCACTCAGAACATTGGCGTTATTTGCATTAGCCATTGGACAGAGTATAAAAAGCACATGTTTATGTGTTCTGAAAGATAGTGCTCGGTTGAAGTTCTTGGTTCTTTTGGTTGCTTCTGCCTGTACTCCGCTCTTGTTAACTAACGGTCCACATGAAAAGGTATCATCTTCTCTTAGAAAAAAACATTATGAGTGCATTTGTATCAACAAGTCTATACTAATAGAATGGCAAGATGCTTAATTGCACTAGTCCATATTAGGCAAATGTATGTGCTTTCTTTATTCCCTTCTCCGGACTGTGACTGTGGTTCATGCACTATTGTAAATGGATATAACAAGGTTTTTGTATTCAATGCAGCATGTTCAGGAGCTGCTTTGGTATATCAGATTTGGATTATGGTGGGTCATACTAGGGGTGGCTTCATCCATTGGGTTAGGTAAGCTCGTACGTGCAAGTTGAATTTAGCTTAGTGAAATGGTGTGAACAAGCTTCAATTGGTTGAGTAAAATATTGACCAAACATCTAAACATTTAGTATTATAACTTATACAAGAAGTATGGTTCTGAAGGCATTGTCATTTGTTTTTCAGGCTCTGGTTTGCACACATTTGTATTGTATTTAGGGCCTCATATTGCCCTTTTTACAATCAAGGCAGTTCATTGCGGTCGGACTGATTTAAAGAGTGCTCCTTATGATACTATTCTCCTTAAAATGAGACCTTCATGGTTGGAGAAAGACTGTCTAGAATTTGGACCGCCAATGTACCAGGAAACAATTCCATTTAGCAAAATACTGCATGAAGTTCACCTTGAAGCTGTTCTCTGGGGCATTGGAACTGCACTTGGAGAACTTCCTCCATATTTCCTCTCGAGAGCAGGTTGCGTCTTACTGCTTTGCTGCTATAGCACCACTTGATTATATGCTTTTCACATGCTCACAGCCTCACACTATGTCCCTTTTTATCTTCAATATTAATCACTAGAGAACATGACAGTTTTGAATAACCTAAAATTTGGTATAATCTTTCAACCTTTCCAAACGTACATGAACATGTGATAAGATTGATATGTGTCGAATTATGCAGCAGAGCAATTTATGTATATTGTTTTGTGAGCAAGAAACTTCTGGAATGTTGACTACTGCATATTAATAAACATGAAGCTTTAGTTATTTACAATCCGAGGAAAGGAAAGGGGAGAGGAATACAAAAACTCTGACTCCCTGACAGAGTTAAATAAAATTGAAGTTTTTATCAAGACAGCGGGAAGTTTTTGTGTTGCACTTCTCAGCCAGAACCAAGAGTCATTTTCAGGCTTTGTTTCTAGCCAGCCAGTGCAGAAGTGACTCCTGCAAAAACCTTGATGCAATGCTGATTATAAATACTATGCCGTGTAGGATACATTAGTGATATATGGTTCTTAATATTCTGCTAAGTTCTGCACCATAAGGTTCCATCTTGAAGTTCTAATACAGTAATGCTAAGATGCAGTATTTTCACTACTTTTTCCTAGTTTATTTTTTAATCTTGGGTCAGAAGAAATTCTTGATGCAACTGACTCACTATAAATGAACCCCAGCTAGCATGTCAGGACGCAAACTAGATGAGCTGGAAGAGTTGGATGCTTCCGTTTCAGGAGAAGGTTTTCTATCCTCAACTCTGCATCGGGCTAAAAGATGGCTTATGTCTCACTCACAGTATCTTAACTTCCCTACCATCTTATTACTTGCTTCGGTTAGTTCCTTTCTTGTGTACATTTATTTGTTTTCAGTCATAATTTGTTATTTACCAAACTTCCAGTTGCCTTGTAGGTTGTAGCTCCTAAACACTTTAACTTGTTAGGTGAACTCCACTCGAAATGCTTGAGGAACTCATTATATTCACACACAAACGAGATTTCCCAAAAGAAATAGATTTGCTTCGTCACAATGTAGAGCAGTTATGTTTTGCATATTATTCTTCTCTTGTTAGATATGACATGTGAAGAAACTTAACTTTTCCTTCCATTAGGTGCCAAACCCCCTCTTCGATCTTGCTGGCATTTTGTGTGGGCAATTTAACATCCCATTCTGGAAGTTCTTTCTAGCAACTTTAATTGGAAAGGCTGTTATTAAGGTTTATATCCAGGTTTGCTACTTAAAAATTCTCTTGCAGAGCATTTTCTTTTCAGTATCTTCCATGCATTGTAACATCTTTGTTAAGTTATCTAACCATACTTCACAAATAACTTCTGTAGACAACATTAGTAATTACTCTCTGCAATAACCAACTTCTTGATTTGGTGGAGAAAAGAATTATGTGGGTATTTGGCAATGTTCCTATGGTATCATCCGTCCTTCCCTCTTTAGTTGCCAAGTTGAAGACAGCCAAGAGCAAGTTTTTATCATCCAGTGTTGCTGCATCAGCATCAAGTGTTGTGAAGGTACAGATTTCTTTTAATTTTGGGGAAGTTTTGAACACTTCAAATCTCAAACATCAGGCGTACTTGTTTCAAAACTTTTAGTTTGATCATCATTATGTGGTTATGTGTTGTTTTCAAAATTTATTGATTCTGTTGATTTCATTGTAATGTATGTCACTGTTTTTCATGAAAGGATGTGTTCTAACTTCCAACTTCTGAATGACAAAGCAGCTGATGGTCTAGCAACAATAATTTATATTCTTCCATAACTTTTGTAACAAAATTACATACTCTTAAGATCACACTTTGTAAAATTTATCCTTATGGTTGACAATTATTTTAACATAAATTACAGAGTAATATAATTACAAAAATGATCATGATAGCATCTCTCTCTTCTGATTTACTGCTGTTTTTTTTCTTAACCTGCTATCATTTGCTTTCTTGTTCTTTGTTATTTTTCCTAAATATCTTAATTATGTATGTGTAGGAAACGAAGTGGAATCTATCATTCTCTTTGATCTGGAATACCGTGGTGTGGCTTTTGATCATGAACTTCATCGTTCAGATAATTACTTCTACAGCACAAAGTTATCTCAAGAGACAACAAGAGCTAGAGATCCGGAAGAAGTTGTCAGCGACGATACAAACTGTTTCTGAAACTACTGGCTTATCAAATTAATTCAGCCAGATCATTCTTTCTAATATACAAATTTCACATTCATGCCATCAATTTCTTCCCACACCTGAGGAGGATACAATTGACTTGGCAATTCCAAATATGGTTAATTTAGAAGTTACAACGAGCTGGAAAACCGGTATTCTTCAAGAATTTACATTGATATAGTTGTCACATTGTACAGTCCTGCGCTTTCCAAAAAGAAAAAAAAAACATTGTACATAACCTGTCCCATCAAGCCATTACAGGAGAATTAGGGCCCCTGCATTATTGTGGAGCGCTACTTATTGCTGTACTTAATTGAAAGGCACAAAAAGGAAATGCATGACTAGCTCTCCAATGTAATGCCTCCCCAGCTACAATTTCTGGGGCCCATTTGTACATAGTAAAACCAAGGTAGTATCAATTACACAGGGAATCAAAGCTATTCATGCCCCTGATGCCCTCCTATCTACTATCCTGCTCAGTTGATTTTGTCCCTGCACTGGCAATGATTTCCTCCCTGTCGAGGTATTATTTGTCCTTTGTTTGGTGATGGCTACCTGATGAGATGAGATGAGATCTCTGTTCCTGTCCATGCACAACACATGACAGATGGTTAGGCGAAAAAAAGGGTTGCATCTTTATCAGCTGCACTGTGCCTTTTCCTCCGTGAAGTTTGCATCGCCTTGTACTGCTTTTGCTACCAAAGACTCCATTTTCTGACGTAACTTCAGTGGAGGAAAATAATTGGTGTTCTTTGCCCGTAGAATTTCGGTTTGACAGATACAGGTCGCCGATATTAATTTAATTGTCACATTAAAAAGAAAGTGAGGAAAAGGATGGGCATGATGACTGCAAGAGTTCCAGATGAACTCGGAAGTGTTGTGCTGATGATTTGAAGCGTGCTTTTAACTCTTCCAAGTTGACAGAAAGAATTGCGCTTACTTGCAGTTTTAGCTAATGCACTCCTAAGTCAAGTCTGTTTTAAAATCAATATTAGTGGCTTTTTAGGCTTCTAGGAATAACAACAGCTCGTAAATTGGAACATCCCAACGCTAACCTCTACATTAGGCTAATAACTGAACTTTCAGTCCTTGTAGGTCAGTTTACTTGCAGGTTGCAACGAGGTGTGTTTTTCTCTGAATTTTCCACTCTTTCTTAGAGGAAAGATCCTCATCTTATCTTGAAAATTAACAATTAGGTAAAAAATAATAATAAACATAGGTTTTACTACTGAACGCTTGATGGATACTCCTCCAGCAAGGAAATGTGATTATGGCATGATGAATTGAATCAGACACATCATCTTCAGTACTTCACTTTAGTAAGTGCACAAGTATGTCCACAAATATTCCGCTGAAAACTTATAACTATATATAATTCCATCCGTTCTAAAATATAAACATTTATGACTATGCACCAGAAATAATTATATTTTGGATAGAGTATTATTTTTTTCAGGGATTTCTAACTTTAGATTGGTTTAAATTCAAATTAACCACATGTACAACCATGCAATGCTACAAGTAGGAGATCGAGTATCACCTGAATGAGCAAAGGAAGTTGCAAAATGTGGTAGGAGTAACTGATAAATGCACGGCCCAGGCCTATCCTGCGGACAATGCTATTTTCCTACACTGTCTCTACTGCTGCTAGCCCAAGGTGCAATTGTCCTTTTCACCCCTTGTGTGATATGCTACAGTAACTTGATGCTGCATCTATACAAATGTATGGAAGCACAAGGCTTGTGTACAGTGCATGCCAAGAGAATATGATAGTACTACCACTACTGCTGCTGTAAAAGTTTGAACCTACCCACTTCAGATCTGCAAAATAGGAGCCCCCATGTAGTAGGGCTAGAACCACATTTTTTTTTCAGTGTGTTCCCAGGGATTCGTGCAATGAAATATTATGCTGTTTGATATCTTTTATTAAATTACTGTTGTTATTATTTGTATTTGCAAATTTCAGGAGATCAAAAATCTGGAAGTATCATGTGAGGCTAGTATGACAAACTTGATAATGATCTCTCTCTGGTATGACTGAATGGGCAAGTAGTATATAATTGTATTCTTTTGTTTTGAAATGTTGGTATTCAGGGGGTAACATGGTGAGCATATTTAATACCGTATAGTTGTGGGCAGCATATATAATATATACACCAGGTCATCTTTGGAAGTACGTTTGTATAATTAATTTAATGGCGTTGTTAGGCAGCTAAACCCAAACGAGTAGTGACAAGCCATTCTAGAGCTAGTAGCGCACCCTTCCCTCCTTCCTGCCACGCTACTCCTATTAATTTATACTCTATATTTATATGAATAATATCATGTCCTTTTCAAACCATTATATCCACGATAATACGCCTACGATAGTCATTAACACGTACTTACTTGTAAAGTAATCGCCATGATACTGATATAATAACAAAATGCCAACAAGAACAATTGTTTAATTCTGAGGATATATCTTGGCATATAAAATTGTGCCACAGATTATAAAATTGTTTGGCTGTGGGGCTACACAATAGCCCATATTAGTACAATATATACAAATGGTTCAGATGTGTGTTCATGGCTATAATTGCACTAGTCAAACAAAGCTTCACAAGCCATGCACTTGCCCTAGATAAATAATTGGCCTCACCACCAATATTGTATCTAGTGGTAAACATAATAATAATATCATGCATCATGCAAAGTTAAAATATTGCAATAGTAAAATAAAAAAATTATGCGTCACCAAGCTTGTGTGATCAATCTCTCGAGTGGATGGCGGCATTGGCCTGGTTGCTTGTCCATGTCCCATGTTTTTTTTAATAGGCTTAAGAAATTTAAACCTAGAAACATGATCCCAGATATAATATTATCTTGGGGCCAATAAAGTAAACACAAAGAACACAAAAAGATTAGAACCAACTTACCTCGAGTTGTCTCCCACGGCATTAGTTTAATTAAGCAAGTAGCTCAGTATAAAATATAAAGAATTAAAACTGGACAAGAAAGAGGCTTTCAAGTATTGGGCATCTCTTTTGTTAGACCTCATTATCGTAATTTCAGCCTTTCAGTCCCTTTAGAGTCCCTTAACTCACTTGCCCTATAGGAGTAGGATGTAGCAGCAATAGATCTCAAAATTAATACTACTACCTCCATTTTTTAAATAGATGACGCTGTTAACTTTTTCTCACATGTTTGACTATTCGTCTTATTCAAAAATTTTGTGCAAATGTGTAAGATATAAATCACACTTAAAGTACTATGAGTGATAAAACAACTCATAACAAAATAAATTATAATTACGTAAATTTTTTGAATCAGACGAATGGTCAAACATGTGAGAAATAGTCAACGGCGTCATCTATTAAAAAACGGAGGTAGTATATACTAGCCGCCTTGTTATAAAAAATGCATTAACGAAACATATTTTTTGTGATTAATTAAAATGATTAGGGGCTAGGTGGGCATAAAATAGGCCAAAAATAGGGAAAGTGTGTTATGGGAAATTAAACACACATGATTTTGCAGTGTTTATTGACCAAATATCAACAACTTGGCTCTGCTTTCCAGGGAACGCATCCAACTACGAATAATTTCTGGGAGTTAATTTGACTTATACAACCGGCAACCTGCTCTGCAAAAGTTTATTCAAAAAAGAAGAAAAGAAACCGACCTTTAAACTATTGAAAAAAATAATTAGCAGTAAAGGTGAGCACATGTCTTCTGTCGTTAAGTCCAAAACTTAAACTCAAATGAACAAGTTATACTATAAGAAACATAGCCAGTTGAGCTACGTTCATTTAGGGCTACTTTTGTTCATTACACAATTAAAAAGTTTGTAATGTCAAAATTATTTTAAGTTAAAAAGAAAGAGCACTTTGTTCAAATACTATCCTACTGATTTTTTTGTAATATTTATCCGGCCGTCTCGAAACAACATAATTTTGCAGTGACGTTCGTCCACCCTTTCCCTCGTGCACAACACGCTCTCACACATAAAAATAAAAAATAAAAAATCCTTTGGATAAAAACATAAACCAAAGGTTGGTTAAAAATTCACATGGTTTAGGTTAGGTTCACACCCAGCTCATTACCATTGGTACTAACCCATTGCAATATATGGACATTTTCTCTTTTATTATAAAGTTAGAGCCTACTAAATCGAAAAACTTAACATACAAAGATATCACATCATCATCCAATAACAATTATTACATTTAAACATGTAAGCATGTTATATTATCTATAATTTTATAATTTATTAATTTTTATAGCTTTTCAAATGTAAGCATGTTAAATTATCATCTCACATAATTCACATAATATTTCAATATGTATCATTATTTTTTATAATATTTTATATACTTATATAGTTCATCCTAACTCCTAACTAAGTTAATGTGCTCTCTCTCTCTCTCTTCTCTCATTAATCCATATCACATCAATTATTTTTGTCCTTAGATGATTATTCATGGTTCAAATTATCTCCCTTAATTTCTTCTCTTATTAAGTCATATCACCTCAATTGTTTTAGCCCTTAGATGATTAATCTATGATCCAAACTTTTACATAAAACCACAACAACTTTTACATTTGAATCATTATTATTTAAATTTAAATTATCATAAACCACATCAACTTACATAAGTTTATATTGTCTATCCAGGACTTTTCCCATATGTTTAAGGCTTGATTTCGTATAAAACTTGGTATATGGTGGACTCCACCGAAGTTAGTATACATGTATTGGGTATTTCATATTTAGGGCACGGATAGCTATTGGCGAAATAATGGGACTATAAATTTAGTTATACCCAAACTTGTTCAAGCTTAGACACTAACCCTAAGTAGTGGTGTTTTAGAAATACAGTGTTGACTAAAGATGAGCTATATCTTGGATGCAGAAGATCATGGGTTGAATTTGCATCCAGAAACAGGCATTTTAAATTGGAGTAAAGTGGTAGTAGAGGAGAGACAATTAGGCTGGTCCAGCTTTTAAAAGTAGATTCTGTTAGATAATCATGAAGACTAATTTCCCCAATTTCATTTCCCATGTTCGAAGTAACAAGCATCATCACCATCATTACTCTATTAGTCATCTCGTGGACATCCATTTGTTTTGCATTATCTGTGCTCCTCTTTTGCACGATGAGCTGCGTGTTTTACAGCAGGTTACTTTTGTGTTTACAGAAATACTTTTGCAATTACCTGAAAAAAAGAAAGAACAAATGCACGTACTACTCCCACTTTCTACATTTGTTTCACGTGGTATTTCAGTTCTCTAACCCTACTATTGTAGTAGTAAGATGTTGGTCAATAAAAATGTAATATTTAATAGTGCAAGACTAGCTAGTTGAATGCAATGTATTGTGTTCTCATTTTTTTTTGTCAGTAACTATGGTTCCAAATTTAGGCCCCTAGGCTGATCTGTTTATATGGGGATCAATTATACACGGGTGGAAATTATTTTAT